GAAGTGGCATAAAACAGACACAGATCAATGGAACAGAATAGAAAGCCCAGAAATTAATATTTGACAGAGGAAGCAAACACATAGAATGGGCTAAAGATATTTTATCCAATGGTGTTGGGAAAATTGGACAGATATATACAGAAAAATGACACTGGACCACCTTCTTACACCACACACAAGAATAAATTCAAAATGAATGAAACTTAAATGTTAGACCCAAAACCATAAAAATTGTAGAAGAGAACATAGGCAGCAAAAACTTGGGCATTGCTTGTAGCGATATTTTATTGGCTATATCTCCTTAGGGAAGGGAAACAAAAGGAAATAAACAAATGGGAAGTGATCCCTTTTCTTGCCGCCATTGACTTTTACCCATCGTGAAGCATTAGAGAACAACAGCCTTAGGATTTTTTTTTAATTTATTTTTTTAATTATTATTTTTTCAAACCAGCCTTCAGATTTCAACAAGTAACTGAGAATTGATTATACTTTAGAGTTAGTGTCATTTTTTCTTCCTCTCAAAAACTGCAAATGCCCTTACATTCATTAAATTACCTAATAGCTGATATAGAGGTTAACCCTCTTTAGTTCATTTTTGGTAGTGCATGGTCTCAATTTTTCTTATTTAATTATATTTTATTGATTGTGCTATTACAATTGTCCTGACTTTTCTTTCTCCGCCCCTCACTTCACCCAGCACCCCCCTCTCCCTCAGGCAATCCCCCCATCATCGTTCATGTCCATGGGTCACACGTGTAAGTTCTTCGACTACTCCATTTCTTGTACTGTACTTTGTAACATCCCTATGGCTATTCTGTAACTAACTACCTAACTGTACTTAACCTCCTCACTGCTTCACCCATTACCCCACAGCCCCTCCCATCTGACAACCATCAAAATGCTCTCTGTATCCATGATTCTGTTTTTCTTGTTTGCTTAGCTTGTTTTTTAGATTCAGTTGTTGATACATTGTATTTTTTGCTATTTTATTGTTCATAATTTTGAACTTCATTTTCTTAAATAAACCCTTTTAACATTTCATGTACTAATGGTTTGGTGATGATGAACTCCTTTAGTTTTTTTTTTCTTGTCTGGGAAGCTTTTTATCTACCCTTCAATTGTAAAAGATAGCTTTGCTGGGTAGAGTAATCTTGGCTGTCCCTGCTTTTTATAACTTTGAATATGTCTTGCTAATTCCTTCTAGCCTGCAAAATTTCTTTTGAGAAATCAGCTGACAGTCTTATGGGAACTCCCCTGTAGGTAACTAACTTCCTTTCTCTTGCTGCTTTTAAGATTCTCTCTTTATCTTTACCCTTTGACATTTTGACTATGATGAGTCTTGGAGTGGGCCTATTTGTATCTAACTTGTTTGGGACTTTCTGTGCTTCCTGGACTTGCCTGTCTATTTCCTTCACCAAATTAGAGAAGTTTTCTTTCATTATTTTTTCAAATAGATTTTCAGTTTCTTGCTCTTTCTATTCTCTTTCTGGCACCCCCATGATTTGAATGTTGGATCTCTTGAAGTTGTCCCAGAGGCTGCTTTTACTGTCCTAATTTTTTTAATTATTTTTTCTTGTTGGTCTGATTGGTTGTTTTTTTTTTTTTTGCTTCCTTGTGTTCCATCATTGATTTGGTTCTTGGCTTCACCCACTCTACCGTGTTTTCCCTGTAAATTGTTCTTTATTTCAGTTGGTGTATTCTTCATTTCTGACTGAATCTTTTTAATGCTATTGAGGTCCTCACTAAGTTCCTTGAGTGTTTGAACTCTGCATCTGATAGCTTGCATATCTCCATTTCATTTATCTCTTTTCCTAGAGTTTTGTTCTGTTCATTCGTTTGGGCCATGTTTCTTTGTCTCCTCATTTTGCAGCCTCCCTGTGTTCATTACTCTGGATTAGGTAGAGCTGCTTTGAGTCCATGTCTTGGTAGTGTGGCCTGCTGTAGTAGGTGTCCTGTAGGGTCCAATAACACAGCCTCCCCTATCACTTAAGCTGGATAGTCAAGTTGTGCCCATGATTTGTATTGAGTACACCCTCCTCTTGTAGTTGAGCCTTGGTTGCTGTTGACAGGTCAATGGGAGGGATTTATTCAGGCCAGTCAGCTACAAGGATTTGCTATGACCACTTAACCACCAACCTCTGCCCTCTGCGGAGGATCAACTGTGCAGGCTGCTCCACAGGGAGGTGCTCCAATGTGGTCTGTATCTGTCCACTGTGTGCACTGGCCCTGGGGTTCGCAGGTAGTGCAGGCCAAGGTCAGCCCCGATCTGTGTTTTTTCCAGGCCCACCCTGCTTGAGCTATACATCAATCTGAGATGGCTGCTACTTGTGCTGGCCGTGGAGATCCCCAGGCGAAGCCAAGCTGTGAATCTAGGCTGGCCGTTGCTAGTGCCTGGCCTGTGACTCACTGAGGCCAGCTGTTGCTTGTGTGACAAGATTTAGTAAGTTATGAAGTGTGAGCCAAGACCAGTCATTTATAGAGAAAAGTATCTTGGGTGGGTCCATAAGTTGCATGGGATTCCAGGGATCTCCAAGGCAGGTCACCCAGTGTTAGCCAGGTTGATGGAGTCTCAGATACGGCACCAGCTTGCCAGCTTGGTGGGGGTTAGGTTTTAGAAAAGGTGGCATCTGCTTGCCTCAATACCAGATAACTTTAGTTTCTCTCTGTATGTCACTGGTGCCTTTCAAGCTGCTACCCTGGTGCTGGAGTTCAGAGGGAATGAGTCAACTTCTGGCCTTATGTGGATTTTTTAAGAGGAACTGCTTGGAGATCCATAAGTTTCTTTCACTAACTCAATTCTTGCTGGTTTTTGCAGCCAGAAGTTGTGGGGACTTATCTTCCTGGCACTGGAACCCTGGGCTGGGGGTCCTGGTGTAGAATTGGAACTTCTTGCTCCCGAAATATTCCTCCCAAATTTTTATCCACCACACATGGGTGAGGGACCAGCCCCTTCCATGTCTGTACCCCTTATACCAGTTTGGATGGGTGTGGTTTCTTTAATTCAGTAGTAGTAAGACTCAATCCAGCTTGATTTCTGATGGTTCTGAGTGCTAGTTGTTCTACTTATTAGTTGTAATTTTGATGTGTTGTATGAAGAGAAGAGCCATGTTTGCCTACACTCCTGTCTTGACCGAAAGTTCTAATTTTTCTTAATTCTGACTTTTTTTTAATTTGAGAGAGAAGAAGGGAGAGAGAAAAAGAGAAAAAAACATAGCTTTGTTGTTCCCCTTGTTTTAATGCATTCATTGGTTGTTTTTTTTATGTGCCCTAACTGGGAATTGAACCCACAAGCTTGGCCTGTTGGATAATGCTTTAACCAACTGAGCTAGTCTCCTAACTTTTTAGTAACCTATCTATTAAGGAATTCTAAATCATCTTTACTGGAAAGCTCTGTTATTTCTGTCCATGTGCAGATGTTGAACACTATTAACTTACTTGCATAGCATGACAATTACTAGAAGTGGGTATGGTCTTTAAATTTGTATTTAGAATGTTGTATAAATAAAGACCCCAATAAACAGTGGGGCAAATGCATGGTTGAAATTTAAGTGCTCTGTACAGAACAGTAGAGGGGGATAGAAGGATTCTTGATTCACTAGGGAGACCTTAAGCTCTCTGTGTGAATAGTGTTATCTGATGATGCATTCTCACAGGCATACTGAAGCCTTTGCTAAATACTTAGGTGAAATGGAGTAGTGTACAAGAATATTCCTTCAGTGAGGAATTGCCAGAAGTTTGAACTTTGGGAGGAAAATGTAACTAACAGGCAGATTAGCTGGTAACTGTGTAGAAGATGATGATGCTTTAAGACAGATTCCAGGAATTGCATTTATTTATCAGAGGAGGAACTGTGCATTACTCAGCATTACATTTGAATGATCTACGCTCAATTTCCAAAGAGAGGCTATACTGAAAACTAGCAGTCCTAGTAAGTCTTGTGAATGTACAGATACTTCCCCCAAATCCAAGGAACTTGAAAAGCGTAGTTTTGCTTTGTGGTTTTGACTTGTTTTCATTTAGGCAGCGCCCCCTACCCTGGTCAGGTAAAGGGTATGTAGCTATCTCAGCTGTTCAGTTCCCTTGTTTCTTCTGGCATGGCCCGTGTCTCTGCGCTGGTCTGAATTTGAAACTACTGGGAGTTTAAATAAGGAATCATTAAGTGTGCTAGGCTCTCTAATATTTTTAAATATTTTATTTATTTTGCCCTGGCTGGCATAGCTCAGTGGATCGAGTGCAGGCTGTGAACCAAAGGTTCGCAGGTTCGATTCTCAGTCGGGGCCACATGAGAGGCAACCACACACTGATGTTTTTCTCTCTCTCTTTCTCCCTCCCTTCCCCTCTCTAAAAATAAGTAAATAAAAAAATTTTAAGATTTTATTTATTTTTAGAGGGAAAGGGAGGGAGATTGAGAGGGAGAGAGACACTAATGCAAGAGAGAAACATCAAGCAGTTGCTTCTCGTACATGCTCTACAAGGGACTGAACCCTCAACCCAAGCCTGTGCCCTCACTGGGATTGAACTGGTGACCTTTTGCTCTGCGTGATGAAGGCCAGTCAACTGAGTCACACCAGTCAGGGCGGGGCTCTATAATTTTTTACACCACATCACTTTCTCCTCATCCTTACTTCTTCTGCCAATGCCTCTTCCTATGTAATCATAACAATCAACTGGTAATCAATTGTTACTCTAATAACAGGAAATTAAGGTTCTTGTATACTGATGGAGATTCCAGCAGAAGGAATAGCAGAAACAGCATTGGCCATGCAGAGACATCGATTTGCTTGGAGGATACGATACATAAAAAACAATGGGAGATAAAGTAGGAATTACTAGATCATGGCCTTATGTTTCAGGTCTTTTTCTAGGATTAGGAATTTGAACTCTGTTCCTTATATACAGTGTTGAAAGAAATGGAGTAGGAAAATAATGCGATGATAGTTGCACTTCATAAAGTGGAGATGTGCTACATTTTTACAAAATTGAAGTGATGTTTTTTATAGCACTTAACTTCAGTTTGGATAACTCGTCATCTCATTTGAACCTGAGAGTTGAGGATACCTGTGTAGAGTGGGATCCGACTGGAGGAAAAGGTCAAGAAACTAAAATTAAAGGAAAAGAGAACAAGGGCAGGTAAGCTAGTCCCTTAAATCTGTTATCTGGACAGATGCTTTGTACATTGATTTTTACTTGACAATAATGTAATGAAATTCTTATTCTGTATATCAGTATGATTTGTGATATGTTAGTAACCCAAAGGAGAAGCATATAATATTGTTAGTCAACTTTTGAGTTTGTTGCTAACATTTTCATTACTTGTTCTTAGTTTCTTTTCTGATTCCCTTCTTGCACATTTTTGTTTTAGTGGTCCATTTCTTTAAAGTTGTATCTCTAGCCACTTGAACTGCTTAGAGAGAAGTTCCTAGTACAGTTCCTGAGGTTTAGATCCCTAGTCTTAACTGAACGTCCGCCTGGAGTAGCAGCCTTTAGCCTTGCCTTCACCCCAAGGCTTGGGAGCTTGCAGTTGTTGTTACATTTATTTAAATAGTCTCAAAGTATGGAGCCTCTTTCTTTTTTAACAGAGGAAAATTTTCCTCAAATTGAAATAAGGGAATATCACTGTGAGTTACAACAGTGAATCGAAAACAGAATTTCCTTATCAGGCTTTTGATCTAATTTGATGATAAGCTGTTAAATTTAAGTTGTGAAGCACTCTTAACAGTTGCCTGTTTTTATCTGACAGTGCCCATGTTACTTCACTGAGGAAACATACAAGGTGATGATCTGTGTCTGTCTAGTTCTAGGACGTAGCACAGCTAGCTAGCTTGGCTAAATAACTAATTGTTTTTCTTTAACCAATAAGCAGAAGCCATTGCAGCAGCCTTCAAAAACTAAAATACTGCTCTGTGTAGACTGTATTGGTGGCTTATGTTTTCAGTTTATAGCATTAAAGTGTGCTGCATATTTGGATTATATTGTATATGATTACAAAACAATAAGCTCTGCTTAAAGTCTTTCTTGAATTATTTTCTTTCATCTGACTTTTTTCAACATTTACTTATACCTGGAATCTTTCTTGTGCTGTATTCAGTATATCTAACTTTATAGCTTCGCTTTTATTTGTATTTGACGCAGGGTTGTTTGAGGTGTTCATTGTTTTACAATAGTCATGCAGTTTTGAAAGCATCAGGATAAAAAGTAAAGGTTATTAGTGAAATTATTAGGACAGTGACAGAAAGATCCACATAGCTTTATCAGAAACCAGAATGTGTTCTCTTTTCAAAATTATCTTTCTTTTTTCTAGTTTATTTGCTCACAGGCAAAAGTGATTTCATAGGTAGTATATTATAAATTATAAGATGCTATTGGATTTAATAAAGTTTCATTTGGTCACCTGGAGAGCTTTAGACTGCTTATATTTAGCATTTCATATTGTATTTCTCTCTCTCCTTTCCCTCCTTTTAAGGGTATTTTCTAAGTAGGCTACTTTTGAAATATCATATACATTTATTCTTTCCATAAATATTTGTTTACTGTAGGATATCAGCTGGCTATTGTGGGGTTTATAGAGACAAACACTGCTCCTGCCTTCCAGAAATGTTCTCTGACTTAGGTAGATGAGAGACATATCTACATACAAGTAACAGTAATACAGGTAGAGAGTATGTGTGGTGGTGAATGTGAATAAAGGAACTTAGAGGAAGAAGTCCTGAGTTGCCAAGTGTTGAGTGGTCATTTAGGACACTGAGCCAAACTGAAAGTAACAGTGAAGCCTTTTGTTCACTGACTTGGACAGTATGAGCAAGAGGCCACAAAGGAAAGGGTGCTAGCTCTTCCAGTGTTCCATTTTCCCAACAGGATGAGGTAAGGGTCGGGTAAGTCAGAGCCGATTACAGGTGGTAGATACCATTTCACTGCTGAGAAAGCTCCAGACAAAAGGCTCATCCTGTTGTTTATGGACCAGAGGTCAAGAAGATGGAAGAACAGGAAAGGTTAGAAGTACCAAAGTATTGAGACTGAGGAGAGGGAAGTGTCTTTATATATCATCCCTGCCCCTGTCCCTTCATGGAGGTTCCTGCAGAGGCAGTGGAAAGGGTGCTTCACCTGAGGGGATTTCTAATAGAGGTGCCTAAGCTAGGAACGCAGATATGCACATGGGTTTGGGGTAGGGGCAGGGGATCGCAGCTCCCTCCAGAAACTAGTGAGCTGGCTGCTCATGAAGTACGTGTGGGGAAGGGAGCCCCTGCCCCCAGGCCAGCCAGTGAAAACCTTTATAATTACCTGTGCTTGGGCCTGAAAGAATACACATAGGATTCTGGTCTGGAGCTAGACTCCCCAAAGAGTTATTGTTTTAGCTTTATAGGATCTGGGAGACTTTCACGAATGCAAAGGATTTAGGTTCATTCTCAAGGAAAAAGAAGAATGGGTGGCACTGGACTTGGAGTTAGAGAGGCAGCAACAAGAGGAAAGGTGTGAAAGCAGACTGCCAGAGTTTAAGGAAGTCTTCAGCTGCTACATTTAACTGGAGAGTGCTCTCTAGGTGTGAAAAAACTAGAAAAGCAGACTGGAACCAAATCAAGAAGAACCTGAAATGCCAACCTGAGTTATTTGTGGCCCGTAACGAAGGAGTTGAAGATTTTAAAGTAGAAAAATCAGAGTTACATTTACTTGATAACAATGAACAAAATGAATTGGGAAGCAAAGAGATCATTTGGAAGCTGGTAAAACGATTCAGAGTAGAGGTAACAAAGAATCTTAATCCAGAAAGTTAAGTGGCCAGCATGCCTTTAAAGAGATTGAGGAGGCATGACGTAAGGGTAATAATAGCTGTTGTACTTCTTGCAGAGACGTGCTTCGGGTCAGAGGTCTGGAGTGCTGTGGTGGCAGGGTTCTTATTTAACTTTTCTCTGAAATTTAAACTGCCCTTCTCAGTAGTTCTGTTTGTTTTTCTTTTCTTCATGCCTTCCTTTTATTTCTTTATTACTGGTAAGTTGTAAATTTTTTGTTTTTTAAATGCAGTGATTCAATGTAATTGTCATGCTGACTTTTAAACATCTTTGGGATTTGATTTATTTTGAGTTTGTGAAAGGCCTAATACTGTCCAGTTTTTACCACATGATATAATTTGATATCAGGGGAGATCAGATTGGATCTTGTCTGTCATAGTAGGAGATACACCTTTTTAATACTTGACATTATCCAGTGCATAGATTTGGGAAATTGCTGTTTCTCTTTTTAAGAAGAAAGATCCAGAACAAGAATACATACTGCTTACAAAAAAGGTTATTTAGTTTGGATTGTAGTAAACCTATTTTTGCTTTTGCTTCTATTTAAATTTAACTGCAAGAAATGTAAGCTATAACACATTATCTTTCTTGAGTTCTTTTCCCCTTTGTATCTCATCTGGGCGTTGTTTCTTATTTCAACTGTGTTCTTCGTGTGAGCCTTGCTGTGTCTGCATGATGTTAGTGTTTTCAGCCTGCTTTGTATTGATGACTTCTTACATACGAGTGTTTATCATTGACAGCTCTGTGTAATAATTCAGATAAAATTAAATAGTGAGATCTGTGTAGCATAATTAAAAAATCTTTTCCAAGCTTTCTTTCATGATTTGCAGTTTTAGTCTGTGAAACATTTACAACATAGAATGTTTGTTTTTCCTTTTGTCCCTGTTTCTGTAGAAGTGGAACACCATCCCCCAAACGGACATCCGTAGGCTCCCGGCCACCAGCAGTGCGAGGCAGCAGAGACCGTTTTACTGGGGAATCATACACGGTGTTGGGTAGGACAGAAGTCATAGTTCTTCATTAACTCATGGCAAAGTCACCACAGTCATACCGGTGGGCTTTCTGCTCCCTGGGAGATGGGGTGACTGCATGTGTATTGAATGAATCTTTGCCCAAATTTCTCCCTCTTGGAGCCTAATTGCTTTGGCAGGTTTTCAAATTGTCTTATTATTGATATGTTTAAAACTTAATTTATTTTTACACAACACTGTACATATATGCATAACTCCTGAGGATATAGTAAGGAAGAAAAGTTCTGAAGCTTTATATATTCAGAAAAATTAATGTATAAGTAAAATTATAGCAGATACTCCGCAATTAGTGTCTGTGTATTAACATCCTGAATCAGACTTTTTGTGCAACTTTTTGGGATGAGAGATAGGTACAGATCTCTGTGACTCATAGGAAAAGGTAAGAGTCAAATTTACTTCCCGGTCTTTTGCAGGAGACACGACTATTGAAAGTGGACAACATTATTGGGAGGTCAAGGCCCAGAAGGACTGTAAATCCTACAGTGTGGGAGTAGCTTACAAGACTCTGGGGAAATTTGACCAGTTAGGAAAGACAAACACTAGTTGGTGTATTCATGTCAACAACTGGCTACAAAACACATTCGTAGCAAAGCATAATAATAAAGTCAAAGCCTTGGATGTTCCTGTTCCTGAGAGAATAGGTGTATTCTGTGATTTTGATGGAGGTAAGTTTACTGATTTTCTCATAATTCATTTCATCATAGTTGCTTGTGTTTCATTACTTCACTGGTAATCATCTATAGAGAATTTCCATTAATATTGTGGTAAGAGTGTTTTGACCTACTAGGATCCGATCACAAGCATAATTTCAGCTCCCAAATTAACTGGAAGGGTGTCTGATGTCTCCCTGAAGCCCTACCAAGGCACTCATCTATAATACACGGAATGAGTCAGGAAGAAAGGTCTTGCCAATATTAATTTTAAAGCTAAATTCTTTTTTGTCCATTTTAACTCCTTCTTACCTTGTTGTATTACCTGTACAGAGTGGTAGAGTCAGATTTTTCTAGTTTGGGTAGACCTTAGAAATTACCTAATCCATCTACCATAGAGTATAAAATCCTTTTTACATTATCTCTGCAGGTGGTTGCCACTCCTGTGCTTGATGAACTTTTCTACGTGAAACTTACTGTCTTAGAAGGCAGCCAGCCTCTTTGTCATTGTTAGATAGCACGTGGTTAGAAGGTTTTTCTTAAATTGACTCACTTTGTCTCCCAATCACTTCTGAGACTCTTGGTCTGAAATTTTGTCATCTTAAGAAGTGCAAAATTATGTTCCCCAATTCACATTTCCAAGATAATTTGTATTTATTTAAAAAACTATGAACACTGCTTCTCTTGCCCTGTTTTTCTCAGATTACACATTCTCTGTGCCATTAGCTATCTCTCTCATTTAATTTTCCCAAATTTCTTTGATGCCCTGTGGTTGTTGTCTCTCACAGTATGTATGACACTCACAGTACAGGGCAAGAGAATTTTCCCAACTTTCTATGATGGCCTGTGGTTGTTGTCTCTCACAGTACGATGCACAACGTCTGACCATCATAGGACAGTGATTTGGCAGCACAGTTTCTAGGACTATGATTTTAAAAATGTTTCCAATTACAGCTTCCATTCAGTATGATTTTTATCAGTTTCAGGTGCGTGGCATAGTGGCCACACAGTTACATATCCTACACAGTGTTCCGACTTTTCAGTACCCAACTGGCCCCATGCATTGTTATTAGAATACAATTGACTATATTTCCTGTGCTTTACTTTATATTCCTGTGACTATTATGTAAATTTTTGAGTTGTGTCAAATTACCTTTTTTCTCTTAGATTACGCAGCTTGAGGTTTTTGTTGAAGTTGTTTATATCTCAAATGAAGAAATTATATTTGTCCTTAAGTTTCATCTTAATAGATTTGGTCAAACTTTCCCTCCTGTTGAAATCATCTAAAAATTAGCTTGATATTTATCTTTTGCAAAATTTCTTGAAGCTTTTTGAATTAGGTAGGTGTGAGTATCTTCTCTACTGTCATTTAAATATTTATAAAAATTTTAAGGATGACATACTATTGTAATAAGGAGTAAAAGTAATTCCCTAGATGCTTCTCTCCAAGTTGACACTTTAAGCTATTAAAACCTCATTTTACTATTCATGAGTTATCAGTCTAGTTTCTTAAAAGAAAAAATTCATATTGGCTTGATTTAGTTTTAGTGATGATGACATCAGTTTTGCTGCATTCTTTTTACTTACTGGTTTGGAATTAGATAAATAAACTTTCTCAGGATAGACAGCAAAGTTATTGGCACACATTCTCACTGCTCCCCTCTTTTCACTACCAAGGCAGTATTAGCTTTTTATCTTCTGTCTCTTTTCCTATTCTTTGTGTCTCCTCAAAGATAGCAGTGGGAAGTATAATTGTTAGCCTAGCAAGGGTGTCCAGCCTTTTGGTGTGTCTGGACCACACAGGGAGAAGAGTTGTCTTGGGCCACACATTAATACTAGAGACATATAATCACAAAACAATTTCAGAATGTTTTAAGTAAACTTATGATTGTGTTGGACCACATTGCTGGCCATCCTGAGCTGCATGCGGCTTGAGGACCGCAGGTAGGACACCCCTGGTAGAGCCAAGGGTACAAGAGGGAGTTGTAATGGAGAATGGGATCAGATTTTGAGGGCCTTGAAAAATAATATGAGGATGGCCTTTTTTAGTAGCCGAGGGAGGGAGGCCTCTACACATTTTAGAAATCTGTAGTTGTATGATGATAATTTAGTTTCAGAAATGCTAGAGAGCAAATGGCTAAACGTGGAAGAGATTGCAAACACAGATTTGGTAAAACTTCTCTGGAGGCAGTCTTTAAGCAGTGTAGGCAGGACCATGCCTGTTTTGTTAAGGATTATATCCTATTGCCTAGAAAGCACTGTGTACATAGTAAGCTCTTAGTAAGTGTTTGTTGAGTGAGTAGTAGTAACAAGGGCCTAAGCAGTGGGGAATCAAGAGGAATGGATTTGATGGTGTAAAAGTAGAATTCATAGGACTTGATAACTAAATATGGATTGGAGGGAAAGGAGAAGAGTTGAAGATGACTCTGAGGTTCCAGCCAGTGTGATCAAGAGGATGATAGTGTCATCAATAGAATAGAAAACAGAGAGTCCCTGGGGAAAATTGAGGTGCCCACAGGACAACCACACGGCATGTCTGGCAAATACTTAGAAATTCAGTGCTAGAACTCAGAAGAGAATTAGAGCTGAAGCTAATTACGAGAGAGCGTCACGGAGTGGCTACTGAAGATTGTACTATGAACTGTTGCCGCTTTGCCATTTACTAACTTTGTGACCCTATTAGGTTGCTTCGTATTTTGCAGTAAAATAACCAGTGTTTTCATAGTAGGATAAATGTTAGTTTCATTTTTTCTGTGGTGGTAGCTGGTATGTTAAGGGAGCTTTGTAGAGAGAAAAGAGGGCCTGGACAAGCATCTACATTTAGAATAAGGAGAAAAAGAGGAGATATCTTCAGGGTTAGGACACAAACCAAGAGAACAGTCATGGGAGAAGAATCTAAAGAAGTGATATCGGTTGTAAGGGGGCCATCAGGTTGGAGAGTTAGGTCAGAAAGTCATTTTATTTGCGTGATCATGTTGAAAGACTGTGAAAGGATTTTAAAAATTAACAAAAATGAAGTAGTGATAACTACTGTGGTTTCAGAGACAAAATTGAGTATGTTTTCAGGTAGTTAAAAGACAAGTTTAATAGAGTAAACTTTAAATGGAATTTGAGTCGAGACTGGGTTATAGTAAAAATGAGGAACAAACAGCCTTGATTTTTACTGGGAAACCATTTGTTAAATAAAGGAATAGTTTATAGTTGACTAAGTAGGACATAGTCCAGATTAGGGAATCACTCTGGAGATCTTGAAAACCAGGGAAAGGAAAGTGTATTTAGTCTTTTTCTTACACATGTTTTCTACTGATTTTTAAGTAAGAATTACTAAATCCAGTCATTATAGCTTGTAACAACAAAAAATTAATGTCAAGATGTGCATTTAGTTATTACTTTTTGCATGATTATATGTTAGCCTTAATTAGATGTTATAATGTTTTGTATAATAAATCAGGCTTTTTTTCCCTCCTTCCTTTAGGTCAACTTTCTTTCTATGATGCAAACTCAAAACAGTTGTTGTATTCCTTTAAGACAAAGTTTGCTCAGCCAGTGTTACCGGGTTTCATGGTTAGTACTTCATTTATTATTTCATTTGTTTTGGCAACTTTAAGGATAACAACCTATGCTATATGTTGGGAAAGCAGAATACCTTTTCTTCATACTCCTCACCTTTTCACCAATGCACCTTTCTTAAATCTGTGATTGCTACTATATTTTCGGTATTCTTGTTTAAGTAAATGATAATGCATGAAAATATGCTAATCACAAGCATGCAGTTAGATGACTCTCCATAGTAGTGCACTAATTTTTGTAACCAGCATCTAGATCAAGTAGTGGAACATTCCAAGAAACTTACAAGCCCCTTGCCCATTTTAAGCCCCTACTGGCCCTCTTCCACCGAGGTTACTATCTTGAATTTTAATACCACAAACTCATTTTGCGTCCTTTTCAATTTTGTATGAATGGAATTATTCAATATCTTTTGGCTCACCATTACATTTGTGAGATTTATCCATGCTATGCTATGTGGTGGTCGTTTACTCATTGTCAGATTTTTTCCATTATATGACTGTTCATAATTTATCCATTGTAATTTAGTTGGATACTTTGGTTGTTTCCCTTTGGGGACATTTATAAATAGTACTGCTGTGAATTTTCTGGTTCATGTCTTTTGGTAGTACGTATGTTTTTTATTGGGTATAAAACTAAGATTGGAGTTGCTAGATCATGTATGTGCAGTCAGCTGTAGTAGAGTTTTCCAGAGTTGCTGCTTACATTCATTTCCCTCCAGCAGTTTGCACATACAGCCCTCAGATGTATTACACTGTGGTTTTCATCTGCACTTCCTTGGCGACTAGTGCTATCCAACACCTTTTTATATGTTTATTGACTATTTGAGTATACTCATTTGTGAAATGGTTCTTCAAGACTTACCTGTATTTCCACTGGGTTTTCTATTTTTGTTGATTGATTGGAGTTCTTTATATAGTCTGAGTCCTGTGCCAGATTTATGTGCTGCAAATGTCCTCTCCACTCTGGCTTTCCTTTTCCCTCTCTTCTTGGTGTCTTTTGATGAACAAAAGTTGTTAATTTTAGTGTTGGTTAATTTATCCATTGATTCATTTATGGTTAGCACTTTTGTTTTCTTTTTAAGGAATCTTTATTCACCCCAAGATTATAAAATATTCTCATGTTCTCTTCCAAAAGCTTTTCCTTATCCCTTTAGATACAGACTGCATTTACAATGAAGGTACAATGTAGAATTGATATATTTGGTAGGAAGTTGAGTAATGATACAATCTTTAACTCCGTATGGATCTCCTCTTATTACAGAACCATTGATAAGATCCTTTTTCCATTGCAGTGCAATGTCATCTTTGTAAAATAGCAGACGACTGTGTAGTAGGCTAAATGTGTAGGTGTCTGTACACACAGACGTCATTTCAGGACCACTGACTTTCAAGCTGATTTATATAAGAAGAAGTTCCGATTCTCCGTAAAAAATGAAATTTGTTTTTAATTAATTTTTTTAATTAAGCAAATGTTATTGCTTCTCCCAACTACTTTATGTTTTGCATTTCTCTATCAGGTTAGGCTGTTGTGAGGAATTCTGCAGTCCAGTTAAGATCTTCATTATTCTGGCTGGAGCATTCTTTAATCTGGGGGCTACCTCCACAAATTAGGATGGTGTGTGTCCATTGCAGACTTGGAATGTTTTGTGTATGTGGTTTTCATCATCACCCCACCTTTCACTCGACTGAAGAGAAAGTGTTCAGAGCATATGATGGTTAAAATACAGTACTTTTCAATCTCATAATTGATGATTATTAATCCTAGATGCCCTAAAATCTTACAATAAGTTTAAAACAATGCTAATACCAAGACTTCTAGTTTTTCATTAACAAGTAAAAATGATTACAGACAACAGTATGGTGATTACCAGAGGACATGGGAGGTGGGGAGAGGTGAGGAGGACAAAGAGCGGGTGAGCAGTGGTAGAAAGAGACTTGACTTTGGGTGGTGACTACACGACGTCGTGTGCAGAGGATGTGTTATAGTCGTGCACTTGAAACCCGTAAGGTTTTATTAACCAGTGTCACCTCGAATAAATTCAATTAAAAAGGTAGAGGTGATTGGTGAATAAAGTTATTGCTCATAGAAAAGTTTTTAAGGGATAAGGAAGGGTGATTACTATTATTATTACTTTACTTTGCCAAAAACCTCTGCTGTATTATGTGTTTATGGCTGTTTTTCCATGCCGGCCAATGTGGAACTCAAAGCTGTTTACTTACTTATTTTTTTTAACTGTATGGAACTTAGTTTTTTTCCCTTGAGTCCTAGATATGCTTTTACAAATGAGTAGGTTTCGTGCTTAATTTGAGTTTATATTAAGTAGACATGTAGTGAGTTTATTCATTGCTTTTTCATTCTAAATAATGAAACTAATTTCATTAGTAAATGTCATAAGATACTTTAGGAAACGCATTTTCAAACTGGTTAAAAATTTATTCTTATTGAAGCAAGCCTTTATTGTTGCTTGCTTTTATTAAAACTAAGTAAAGTGATTGTTTAATTTTTTGGTGTACATGATTAATTTTCTACTGTACAGTTTACGGTCATGTACAGCTTGATGGGATTGGAGAAGTGCATACAGTTGTATAACCACCACCATCATCAAGACATAGAACGTTTCCATTACCTTAGAAGAGTCCTTGACACTCCTCTGTAGTGGACATCTGTCACACCCAGCCCTGGCAGTCACCACCAGTTTTCAGTCCCCGTAGTTCTGCGTTTTCCAACATATCATAGAAAAGGAGTGGTATGGTATGCAGATTTTGATTCTGTCCCCTTACACATTTGAAATTCATCCATGTTGTTCTGCTGGTCAGTAGCTCTGTCTTTTTTATTGCTGAGCTCCATATGTGTATACCACTGGTGTTTCATCTTTTCGCCAGGTAAAGGACATTTAGGTTCCTCCCAGTTTTTGGCAATTCTGAGTAAAGGCACTGTAAACATTCTCTGCTCTCTGTTCACAAGCAAAGCAGTGTTATCTTTCAAAAACTCATTCACATTTCTGATAATTAATAGACTATGGCAAGGGTACCTGTATATTGCTATTTGCATTTTTCTCAGAAGTCCTTTTTACAGAATTATAAAAGAGTTCTTACGTTAGGTTCTCCTGTTAGGGAAGAAACCAGTGGGTTTTACTCTGTTAAGAGAGAGGTGTTAGATTCCTAGAGTCTCAGGCCGCACCTCGTCAAATCTAAAGCAGGAACTGGGATAAGCAAGTTGGCTCTTGGTGCACTTCTGTTGGTTGTGAAGGTTAGCATCATTAATAATAACCAGTATCTTTTGCCTGGATTAATCTAGTTCAGTCTCCAAAGTTTTGCAGGCATTTAGCTCCCTGTCTCGGGTGCAGCTCCAGTGGGCTCTTGGCTCTACATAGAGACTCTTGAGTTAGCCCCCCCACCCCCAGTTCAAATATGAAGGTTATGAGTTTGGAACTTGTTGAGGTTCATGTATGTGGCATTTTGCCTTTCAAGTGGAAATTTAAGCCACACTTAAATTCTGACTTGATTTGAAATCTGACTGAAGCTTTGCCTTTTGTCTTCTCCTAGGTTTGGTGTGGTGGGCTTTCTCTGAGCACTGGGATGCAGGTTCCGAGTGCGGTGAGAACACTTCAGAAAAGTGAAAATGGAATGACTGGTTCATCTAGCAGCCTAAACATTGTGACTCAGTAATGCCTCCTGAAAATATGTTTGACACCCCACTCCCCTTCTGATTGGGTGGCCTAATCATAGAAACTCGAGAGTGATGGAAATGAGATTGGCTACGTTCTGCTTTAAGGCCTGGAATCTGTTAGCATTAAGCATCTAATATGAAATATTCACAGGAACCTACTGTGCCCTATCAGAGAAGCAAGCAGAGATGGAACAAGAAACTGCTATTGTGAAGAGTAAATGTGTGGGGGGGAGGCATTGTTTAAATACTTACATAGAAACTGGTTTTTACGTTTCTTGGATAACTTTGGCCCTTCTAATGTTTAGTTAGGTAGCCTTGGGGCCTGAAGAAAAAAGTGTTTAGATCTTGCCTTCTTTCTTTTTTTCCTCTTATTACTACCTATTATTTACTTCTTACACTGAAGTTTTTAAAAAGATACACAGTCCTCTGAGGTTTTCTAAAAATTGAAATAGTTGGGAGTTCGAGACAGGTTTTCTTACACTGGTTTGTTTTTCCCCTTTTATAAATAAGTTTAGTTAGTTTTGTTAAATTATCCTCTTTTTTATTGACTAGATTATGTCATTTTTCTTTTTTCGAAATGTCATGATGTTTTTTCTTGTGGTTATAACTCAGAATCAGAGTGGATAGGAGGAATCTCTAGACATAATTACAATCACCCAAATTTCCGTTTTTTTCCCTGTACTAACAGTGGCAAAGGGGTGTTCTTTATATGTTGCCCTGTTTAATTAGACTACTTTTCATTTCATCCTTTTGAGTAGTGGGTAAGATTTGTAAAAGCTTTATGTTTTCTGATTTTGTTGTCTAGTTTAAAGTTATCTTTACTAGTTATCTTTCGTAAAGTTCCCACTTGAATTTTATTAATAATTGATAATACTTGTACTGATTTTTAACATTTCTAGTAGGAATGAAAGTTTATTAAAGTTATATAGAAGGTAGAAAAATGCACACACTACTCAAGTTTTACCTGAGAAAGATAGGCTATAAAGGGGGTGCCTAAAACTGTTCTTTACTGAAGTCGTTTGTATATGCTTTTGGTAAATATGGAATGGTTTAAACAAGAGGTTTAAAAAAAACTATGTATCTCTGACTTATTTGGCATGGAAGTCTTTCAGTCATAACTACTTACAGGTTATTTCCTCTCAGTCCTTTTGCTACGTCCATTTGCTTTCTAAAGGGGTGTAATTTTTTCAAAAATCAACATAGAATGATCTTTCCCAAAGTTAGGGAAAATGTGTTAACAAGTAAAACCCATGGTTATTGAGAACATATCTGTTTTTTAAAAGCTGGATAAAATTTGTAACACAAGTCCTTTGAGCCAAACTGAAAGTTGTAATTATAGTAGTATTTAAGGATTCCTTGAGTGTTTTAAAGAGATCTGAATTTGTATATTCTTTAATTTTTGACACTTCTACTTCCTTATTTTCATTCTCACTTTAAGTGTATTATACTATGACCACCCAAGAAGTGACCAATGCTTCTTCCATTGGAGTCACTGTCTACAGAAAGGCCTGTGGGATGGGAATAGCTCATTCTTTCTTAAAGTTCGCTGCTTACTAATAGGACTTTTTGCTCATTTTAAAACAAATCTAAATGATGGCTTTTACTTGAACTGGGTATTACTTTTTTAGAATATCTGCACCATTGTCTGCTGACATTTAGTATTTATAATTACAAAGACTATTAAGAGAGTTTAGAGAATGAATATGTTAATAGCTATTCTTTTGAGTCTCCAAACAAATATAATTTTGGTGTTTGTTCCTTCTGGAGATTTTGATAGAAATTTTTGGGTGTTCTCTTCCCTATAGCAGGTTTATCCAGGACCTAGGGAAACAGGAAGTTATCTCTCTTCCATAAGAGTCAAACCTGAAAGCAGTAATTTAGTGGTGGAGCTGCTTTATGTAAACTGTTATACGTGTATATTTTAGCAAAAATGACACAGAAAAAGCCAGAAATTCTTGTATAAAATTTTTTACTATTGTATATCTGTGGCTTCTCTTTAATTCAGTGCCTTTTTCCTCTAAGCCTGCTCGTCTCACTCCATGCCCCGTGCAGAGTCAGCCGATGTTTAGGCCAGAGCCCATTAGATCGTGCTGGCGAAGGCCTTCTGTTTCAGGGGCGTGGGGAAAGGAGATATAATCAAGGGCTGGAGGGGTGCATACGGTTCTTTTCTGTGCTCATGCTATCATTTGAAACCCTTCATATAAAATTTTCTAATATTTATTTGGAAAATTCACTTGAAGCAATACTATTATTACTTCAAAAAAAAAAGCATCTGAGGTTTACTTGTTACCATGCTTCTTAAAGTTCTCTAAAAGTAAAGAGCAAAACATGTGGGGTTTTAGTTTAGTTGTGTTAAGTTAAACTGGAGCAAGTTTTCCACCTTCATTTTCAAACTAGAAAATAATCAACTCTAGTGCCTAATTAATCTCAAATGAAGGTAACTGTTTCAACTTGACCACGCATATAACATTGTCATTGACATTTAAGTTAAAAAAATATTGAGCTCTTTGGCTCATAACACATTGTGTAAAGTTGGTATACCCTTTCAAACATTTTTTGGTTGGTGGTTTTACTTTGTTTTGACAGGTCAAACATGACTGCTTTCTGCAAAAGAAATGCATGAGAGGTTGACAGTAATGGATGTATCACAGGTCTAAGAAATTATGTTTTATAAAAACATGCTTTCAGTATTGTGTCTTCTCTTTTAGCAGTTGAATCCCAAGCCAGTTTTAGTAAACTGGATGAAGAAATAAAGGAATTGCCTTAAGCACTTTAGAAAACTAAGTTTTTTACAGTTCAATGTTGATTATTTGAGCTGACCATATATGTAACATATGTCTTTAATTTTTGGTAAATATGTATATACCAAGCGTTTAATAATTGCACATAGAAATGTAATATACAGTGATTCTTTGACTGTTCCAAGTGTAGGTAAACAGATGGGAAGTGTTCGAGTCATGCCTATCTGTACATGGGTTTAATTGGCGGCATGTGTACCAACCATTCTGACAAGCGGGGAATCGCCGCTGCACAGCTAGACTGGCCTACTTCACTCTACCAGTAGTTTTCCCCATGTTGCTGTCTAAAGAGGCATGTTGGCTTAATTTTAGTCCCTCGTTTATTAAGCTAAAGCACGACCAGTATCATGTATAATTTGAATTTTTGTGACTTGATCCTTGCTGGTATAAATAATAAAAGTAAGTAATTTGTCATGAAATCTTTAATTAGGCTATGATCCTTTATTTCATGACTTACCCTGAACGATTAGTTTTTTCTATATACATTTTCCACAAATTTATAGTTATTTGTATTTTTAAGTTGTTTCTTTTGGAAGCAGGTTAAAAATTGGAAAAGGACATTATGGAAAGTGATTATTTCAAAGAGTATTAATTTTAAAGAGGGAAATGTAATCTTTTTACTATAAAATCTGTGATTCCAGGCTGAAAAAACTAGGGACTATATTTGTAAGTCATCATAATTCTTTTTCAGAAAGCCTATATTTGTTCAATCAATGTTCATTCTTTGGCTAATACATACCACAAATATTTTAAGTGTTCATAATGTGGCAGTCAAACTTTGTATCAGATTTCCAAAATTAATGAAGGTTGATTTACAGTGCATATAGTTTTGCTGCTTTCGAGTAAGTAGTGTTACAAAGTTTGCATGTTAATGTTTTGTTAAGTCAAATTTTAAAAAGTAAATTTGTTATAGTTTGTAAAAAAATTCAAATTTTAATAAGCATATTGTATGTAGTATGGTTCATTCTTATATCATCACAAAAAAGGATCTTGAAAAGTTTCTTCCTTGATTTTATTTCTACACTGTATATATTCATTTAGGGAAATGTATGGTCAACACAAATTTATTCAACATCCAAGTGACCACAAAGTTATATGTTATCTTTAACCAGAATGTGCAGTGTACAATGCCAGTACTAGAGCATTCTAAGAGATTCTGAATGTTTCCTTAATCATCACAGAAAGCTTTACCTCATTTCAGTGTAGTTTGTTTTGTGTGTATCTTACAGTATTCCTATTATGCCAGTATTTGTCATCCTGATGTATTACCTATGATAGCTTTGTCACTTGGAATATGTGATTAATGCAGATACTTTAGGCCCTTTGAGTAATTTGGAGTTAAATGGGTTACTTTTAGTATATTTGTTTTTGTTGAAAATATATTGTTGGACATGCCATTATAAAGGTTAGTGTTGGCTTATAAATACCAGACATTGCCATAGTACCTTCTCCTCAGATTATCCAATTATTAAATTAAAACAGTATTTGTTTCTGGGTCAGTATAAGGCAGTGACTTTTGAATTATAACCATTTGAGCTATGTTAGTTAAACTGATACATTTACTTAATGGTACCCATTTATTATAAGTTGGTCCTTTGAAATGGACATATAGAAGATTTCACAGTATGTAGTGGAGAAGGTAGGTGAATGTGTTCACTTTGGCTGGAACTTAAGTTTGGACCAATTTTTTTTTAAGTGAAAATGTAAGTGATTGGTAAAAGGCATTTCTATTAGTACTGGAACTTTTTGGAGAGCCTAAGTGCTATGAGAGTGCATTTTTTAAAACATTTCCAATATGGAAGGTACCAAAGCATCGAGTCTCATTTACCTTTTATGGGAGACTCTTTAAAATCAAATTTATAACCAATTCATACTAGAAGATATATAATAGCTAAAGTTTTAGAGTAGTTTATATTGAAAACCACTCGTCTTTAAAATTTCTGGACATAATATAAAATGTTGGCTTCATTTTTTTAAGTATTTAAAATTCATTACCTTCACTTTACCATACACTAGGTCTATGGCCTCTACATAAACCATTTCTCCTCTTTGGGCAGCCTACCTCACAGGGCTGTTGTGAGGGATAGAATGAAACGGAGTGTGTGAAGTCGCTTCAACAACGGGCAAATGCTGTGTGCACATGAGGTGGTGTTTTTGGTTAATAACAGACTTACCCATTTGGATGCTTCTAGATGCCATTTGTTTTAGTTTTTAAAACTAAAATCCTATGCTTAAAGTGGTATCACCAGGACTTCAAGTGAGATTTAAAAAAACAAAAACAAAACCCTTATTAAAATGCCTTTTAACATTCCTTAGTTTGTGCATGATGTGACCTTTTTGTATTTTCTCATCAGGACTGTCACTCGCGATCTCAACTTTCTAGAACTGTAAAATTTCTCCCACAGCATTAGTGAATCACTGTAGAATAGTAACGTAAAGCATAATAAATGACTTAAGCTATGTCTCCATCCAGGCATTTACGCTTTTAATTTATGACTCTTCAGTGCCACGTGCAAAGACTGAATTTGGCTTAAGTAATTCTTTCCAAACAACCAAACGGTTAAAATTTGTTGTCTTTGGCTAAAAGATATATGCTGTATGTGCCCATTTAACATTTGACTTTTGTTGCATTGTCATTTTTTCTAAATATGGAATATTATCAAAAGCTTGTGAACCTGGTTATCATTTAGTATCTCTCCTAGAAAATTTCTTCTGCTTTAAGTTGGATTTATTAAATGGTTTACAGTTTATCTTTATAGATTATTTGGTATTGTTATCCACTGGACACAATTTTACTATGCAGTTCTGAAAATAAAAATTCTTAATTCCTCAGGTTAAAACTTTAAGTTATGGATGAAAATATGAACTATTTATAATATACTCAGTGCTGCAAACTAGTGTTTTAATATGCGTGTTGCCTCATTTTTCTTGGAAACAAGACAAAGCCTTTTAAATGGTTTTTAACTTTAAAATAGTGTATTCAAAGTGCAGTAACTTCTGTGTTGAAGTGATTGTATGCTCTATGTAGAATGACCAAGTTAAATTCTTACAAAAACACCTGGAATATCTCATCTAAAAATTAAACGTCTTTTTCTGCTTTATTTTGCTTCAGTGCTTACATTTTATCAGTTCTCATTAAAAACATACAATGTTTTTGAAGATGACGAGATAAAAAAAAGTCGTAGTCCCTTTTTCACAAACGGAGCACTAGTTTAGAGCAGTACCATTCAACAGAATTTCACACAGTGATGGGAAGTTCTATATGACAGTTAAGAGCTTGTTGCAATTTGCATTGCATTTTGCTAGATTAGCTAAGAGTAAGAGGTAGAACCTAAGCCTTCTTAAAATTTGTATCCTAACTTGAAATCAGTTTAGGAGAGAAAAAGAAAAATAATCGGTGATTAGATGAAGCTGGAACTTCATTTCATCAAAATGAAGGGAAGCTCAGTAGTGTCGAGTCTTATGGAGAGGTGTGTGAGCAAGATTGAGAAACCAGTAGCCTGCAGCAGATTATTATTTTCCCCGTTAATTTCCCTGATGATTTTCAAACATACAGAAAAGTAGAGGCTATTAATAATGAATACCTTTGTACTCATCACCTAGATTTATTAGTTGTTAACATTTTGCCATATTTGTTATCCTTTAAAGTATCAAAATAGTACTATAAGTGCTATAAGTACTGCAGTGGGCATCAATGATGATTTTCTCATTTAAGCACAGCCACAGTTCGTTAACATTCTTAGTAGAGTTAACAGAAATCCTAATAACATTTAATGGCTCAGTGCGTATTAAAATTTCCATCGTCTCCAAAATGACTTTTTAGGGTTGCTTTCTTCAGATCAGAATCCAGACAAGGTCCACACATTGCATTTGGTTGTCTCTTAAGTCTGATTTGATAGTAGTTCCCTACATGGTTTTTAAATGCCATTGGTAAAATGGCATTTGTCTTGTTGGATGTCCCACATTCTTAACTTAGCTGATCACTTCTCTATACTTGACATTAATCTAGAGTTTTATTAACTGAAGATCGAAGTTTAGGCGAGAATTCCTCACAGGTGGATGCTGTGTTGTTTTCTGTTGCATCGTGTCAGTACATACGCAGTGTCTGGCTGTCCCAGCCTGGATGAGACCCATCAGTGGGTTCAGGTGGAGCCAGCTCAACCCAGTTGTTACAAAGTTCCTCATCAACATTTCACCTTAATTCTAGCATCTATTGATGAGTATTGTCCTTTATATTATTCCACCGGAGTAACGTGATTGTTCTACCATTCATTCTTTATTATATGGAATTCTCATTACCATTTCTGTTACACTGAAATGCAATTCATACAAGAAAGGCAGGATAAATACTTTTTTCCTTTATCAGGTTTCAGGATAGTGAGTTTTGCTGCCTGGAAACTTACAGTCATGACTAATGTTTCCGTTTAAAGACATCATGAGGTCAAAAATTTTGATATGTTTGATGTGTTTCACTCAATAGCAGTTCCTTACTTGGATGCTCAAATTTTCCCATTTTGGGGTCCTTAAAGTTAGCACCTGCGTCCCACACTGATGATCCTGTCAATGTGTGAAAACAGCCTTCTTCTGGGTGTTAACTTACTTTTCTGATTAACCTACCAACTACTAGCTCTAAGAATATAGGAGTAGTTATAAGTAATAAGAGGACTTCTACAGAGTCCTGATATTCTGTATGAATACACATTTTCTGGAAGGAAAAACAAGAAACTGGTATGAATCATAACCCTGAGAAATAAGAAGACTTAGCATTTTATACTTTTCCAAAGATCAAAGTTTAGAAGACAAATACCGTGAGGAGAAAACTAAGTTTTGACATAAACTGGTCAGAGTAATTTTTGTAGAAATAAAGTTACAGTGATTTGTTTCATGCTTTATGTCAAAAATTCATATCAAAACTTACTGATATCTGATCCTTTGGATTTCACTGTTAAAAGTTAGAGAACATTGCACGTGTCCATTTCCTGACCTAAACCTGACCTGATCCGCCAGAGCGAAGGTAAACGCAGCTGCTGTTCCCCACTCTGTACCCATCTCACCTGCCGGTACCCAAACCGAATTCAGGGAGCAACTCTCAATCTCTTCTGCGTAACACACGCACTGAAAAATTATTCATTGCCTGAAAATCACATTTAACTGGCATCCTATGCTTTTTCTGGCAAATCCTGCTGTTACTCTGTGCCTCTCCAATTTTTGGTCTCTTGCTAAAATCAGGTTACCTCGGTGCCCTGCTGTCGTTAGCAAGAGAGAGAAAGGCTTTAACTAAATGGTTAGGTCTCAAAAGCTGGGAAATCACCAGGACTCAGTAAACTTCCAGGAGGGACGGAGAGGGGTCGAGGGAGCGGGGATGGGAGGGAGTGGCAGGAGCTGCGGTCAAGCTGAGGCCGGGGTCACAACCGTGGGAGCTTTTCTGATGCTACCGCGGGACCAGTCGTAGCGACTCTGCGCTTGACGGCCCCTTTTGCAGCGGTTGCTGTGAGTGCCGTAAAGCAGACTTGCCGCAGCTGTCGGGAGAGGTAAGGTTTGGGAGGCTCAGCTGGGTTGCTGGACTGGGCGGGTTCCTTTAGGCAGGTATCCCCCGTGGCTCGGGTGCCCTCACTGGGCACCCCCAGCATTCTGGGCACCTCCCGACCACGGCCGTCGAGGCTGGCCACCGAGTAAGTGCGGTCGGGGCAGAGGGCTGCAGTAAGTGAAATCTTCATACTGGGACTTGTGCAGTTTCGGAGGGCGATCGAGAGACCCCTGTAGGACCCGATTGGGGTAGTGGCGTTTGAGCGGGGCCGCGAGAACCACCTCGGGTTTTGCGAGAGCATCTGGGGGGCAGGTGGGGGACAGCACTGCAGGTTGTCAGACCAGTGTGTGCAAAGGCACAGGAGCGTGAACGGAGCTACCAGGTTTGGCAGCACTGCGTGGTAGGGTAATGACTGAGGGATGGGTGCGGGAAGGGGAAGGCCAAGGTCTCAGCTGAGAAGGACCTGGATGCCCTGTGAAGGAGCTTGGAGTTCTTCCGTGGGCACTGGGGAGCTACACAGCTTTACAGATGGCATTATCTGTAATTGCATTATCCATGCCTTTTCCCTTGCGGTGCTTTCCCCGTGCGTTCAACGTTTAGTTTATTTGGAGGAATTTTTTTTAACTGATGCATTTCCCTTTATGTGCTTTATAATGAGGTGGATACTGCTAGCCATGCTAAAATTTCATACGGCTTTGACGTCACCCTTTAGTTTGCAGTATCAGCTGGGGCGTGTCGGGGAAAACAGGATGTGTGTGGAGGTGACTGTCGGAAGCTTCGGGTAGGGGTCCGGAGAACTGAGTTTAGATTTCATCGCTGTCACCAATTTCTCAAGAGACATGAGGCAAGTCACTTCTCTCAGCCCCTCAGTTTTCTCAGAGGTATAGAGGAAACCTAGATGATACCAGGTTCTTTCTGCCTTCGAAGATTGCAGGTTTCCAAAGAATGAACATCAGCCTGTAACATACCAAAGTGAGCGATGGAGCAGAGAGATAGAAATTGCGAAGAGAGGGAAGCCCAGTGGGAAAAGCTGGGATGAGCTACACTGTGAGGGTGGATAGGATTTGAATCATCAGGAGCCAGCTGTGCTGAACACTGTGGATAAAGATAGAGAAGTCAGGACGAGGCATTCATATGTTAATCTATTCGTGGAGGTAGATTTTGAGAGAACAGAGGATTTGGGAAGGATGGCGGCAGCTGTTGAAGGGACCCAAAGTGGAAGTACAGGATGTTCTGAAAAGGAAGAAAAAAGGAATGAGAGAAATGTCAGCAATACACAGGACTTGATTTCTTGGATCTAGGTGATTGCTATTTTGAACCAGGTTTTCTAAAAAATGAATTTGAATGGTATTGACAAAAGTGGGCACTCTGTTAGATTTCCAGATTGCAGTAGTGTATGGGGAGTAAGGTAATTTAAATTGTAGCCACGGTATTGCCAGTAACTAGTCCCTTGGGCTCTCATTTAATTCCAGGCCCTGTTCTCTGTAAAGTGGTGTTGGCCTAGGTGGTCCTTCTTCTGTAAAACATGAGTGTGTGAGGACGGAGGGAGCTAGAGGATGGAGAATAAAATTGGTACTTTTGAACATGATAAATCTGAGGTCGAGGAAACTAAGTTGGAAATATATGCAGACGGGTTTTTCTGTTTATAGACTGGAACTTAAATAACAAGTTTTCCCTCAGAGGTTGTAGTTAAAACCTTGAAATTGAATTTGCTCTGAGGGCTGGATTGTACAGAGAATAAATATAACATGAGCCCAATAGATAGAGGGCTGGTGAAATGACTGAAGGAAACATGTGGGTCTCAGAGCTAAGAGCAAGGGCTCCTTTTAAGAAAGAATTGAGGCCAACACGGCCATTAAAATAATTTAACAACATTTACAGCAAAAAAAAAAATCACCTACTTCTGAAAATTTGGCTGAAAGCAGATAACTCAAATAGGTATAATAATCTCTACTGTCTTTCTAATTGTCTACTCAATAGTAATAATATTTACATATTTATTCAACAAATATTTAAATGCCTTAAGCAGTACTGGGTCATAAGGATATAGGAAACAAGACAGACGTTACCTCTATCTTTACATGAAGGTCTCAGCTTGCAGACTAGTAATTTTCAAGTGTTAATATACATGTGAATCACCTGAGGATCTTGTTAAACTGTAGATTCTGAGTTAGCGGGTCTGTAGTAGGGCCTGGAAATTCTGTATTTTTGGCAAGCTCCAACATGGTGCTGATGTTTCTGGTCCGAGGACCATACTTTCAAGTAGCAAATGTGGTGGTTATTAAGCTACTGTTACTACCTATCAAATGTTTTTATTTATGATTATATTGTTTGTGGATATAATATATGTTTATTATTAAAATATTGGAAGAGTATAGAAAAGCATACGGGACGATATAAAGATCAACCCAATTCTGCTGACCTAGAGATATCATGTGAACATTCATCCAGATATTACATATGTACATGTATTCACACTTTCATATGTGTTCTGCCAAGTATTGATACCCTTTGAGCCCTGTGTCTCAGTCTATTAGCTTTATAGTTTTACTAAGATCAGTACCCAGATGGTCTCAATGAAGCAATGAATTCCTGACGGGAAGACTTGACTTAATTAAAAATAACCTGGTTTAACATCATTCTATTACTCCGTAGGAAATGAGCATTTGTTAATTGAGCCACAGAATAAGAAAAGAATTTTTAAACATTTAGTAGGCCCTGCATGGCTTAGAACAGCTGAAAATGTTGGGGTTTTTCTTCTTGTTTTAACCCTGCATATATTATCAGAAGCATTTTTTCTTTATACTTTTCAATTTGCTACTTCATCTCTCTAAACATGCCTTTGCCTAATGCTACTGTCTTTCTTCTCTGTTTCATTTTGCAGTATTCAGATATTTGAATCTCAGTTCTGTCTGATTTATACCACCCATGCGTCCCTCTCATTTCCCAATGTCCCACAATAGGTCAGTAGCATGGAGGGGACCAGTTTAGCACGCACCATCTTGTGAACCTAAGTTGGGTGTCAGAGCTGGTCATTTCTTGGCTGAGGGCTTCTGACATCAGGATAGGTGAACCAGAAGGCAGGAGTGGGGAGAAGTGGAATAAAAATGTCAGGTAGTTAGACATTCTTTCAAACAGATCTCTATCCAGATGATTCTCAAAAGAGTGATGGTGGTGGGTAGGTTGTCAGGATAAGGCAGGTGGCAAAGTCTTCTATGCCGTCACCTTTAAAGGACCAGTGATGATGTGAAAGGGCAGATGGGAGGTGGGAAGAGTATGAAATGCTGCTCTTGGCTATAAGCCTGAGAACTCGCTTGTACTTCCCATCCTGTTCAGCTTCCTTCATGTTTGTGTGTGGGTTTCATCTGCCACCAGTGAGATGGGAATGAAAGGAGATGAAGCAGGTGCTTATTTGTAGTTCTGGAAATACAGAATTAAACATTGGAACAAAAAAATATTCAAACATATAACTTAAAAAAACTTTGCACAGACAAAAGAAATCTTGATTGTACAGACTGATAGGGCGCACAGTGAGGAAAACTAATATACAGGCATGAACATCATTACTTACTAGTTTTTTAAAAATTGAATTTCAAAGATAAGGAGTGTGTTCTTTGCTCATCCCATTCAAACAACTTACCTATAAAGGAGTGCTGGGGGAAGGATCAGATACTGTCAGTGGAATATTTAGCATTAGAGGAAAGTGGTATGAACCTTATAAGGAGAAAGAAAATGTGACCTCAAAACCAAACTCAGTTGACAACCATTTTTTGAATAAGGCTAGAACTCAAGGTAAATAGTACCCATAAGTTCCTTTTCACAAACCGCAAGAAGATGAGTATCAGCCATCCAGGAAATGAACAGGGATGGCACCTCAAAAGGAGGGCCAGGAACATAGTTAAGAATAAGGCCAAGCCCTGGCTGGTGTAGCTCAGTGGATTGAGTGCGGGCCTGCGAACCACACAATCGTGGTTCGATTCCCAGTCAGGGCACATCCCTGGGTTGCAGGCCAGTTCCCAGCAGGGGACTCATGAGAGGCAACCACACATTGATATTTCTCTCCCTCTCTCCTTCCCTTCCTCTCTAAAGATAAATAAATAAAATCTTAAAAAAAAAAAGAATAAGGCAAATATAACGGAGATTTGTAGTTAAGAATATAATAGAACTGTAACAAGGTAGAAATAACTAGTAAAAACTGAGAGGGAAGGCAAGAGGTAGTATAAATTTGTTGTTTACTCTTATTTTTAGCTGGAGAACAAAAGACGGAGTTTAGACATTATTTTTAGTGTATTTAAAGGAATAAAGATAAACCATTGGAGAACAAAATACGAGATCTGGCACAAATAACACCCCCCCTTTTTTAATTATAAAATCATAAGTATGTAATTCTGTAACATACAATATCACACTCAAGTACACCGAATGACATTTTAGGTGAAATGTTCCAATTAAAACTATAAATTATTACACCCATATCACTACCCTCCCAACCACACTCAAGCAGGTGTTAACTTCTGCCAGACCCTGCATATTTAACCAGAATCAAAGAGTAGAGAGGAAGGAAGAAGGAATAGAATTATATTAAATTTCTTAAAGAAATAACCAGATGGGACTAAACATGAAGGAACGAAAATTTTTATCCAGGCCTTTGCGCTTAGAAAAACTGAAAACACAGCTGGGACATTTGTAAAAACTGATCACATCCTAGGTCACAGAAAACGAAGAGCTTTCATACAGATGTTCCTTGACCAAAAACTTTCTCAGTTTCTTCTGCCTGTGCAAGTGGGTCTTGGTTCAGGCAGCAGCAGCACCTAGGAACTTGTCAGAAATGCAAATTCAGGGTCCCCACACCAGGCCTGCTGAGTCAGACATTCTGGGGCAGAAAACCAGTCTCTGCCGGTCGGTTTTTATAAATATCCCACTTAGGGTTTTTGCTCTTTGCATTTGCAAAGAATGCCGTGATAAACATTTTTGTTCTTTCAAAAGAATTATTTCGTTTTAGTGAGAGGGAAAAGGAGGGAGAAATGGAGGGAGAGAAACATTGAGGTGAAAGAGAAATATCGACCCGGGACTGATCCTGCAACCCAGGCATGTGCCCTGACTGGGAATTGAACCGGCGACCTTTCACTTTCGCAGGACGCTGCCCAGCCACCTGAGCCACACTGGTCAGGGCAGCGTACTTGTTCTTTAATGTTCGGTCCCGAAACTGATTATTTCTGTAGTATAAGAAATTACCAAGTCAAAGAATGTTCTATAAACTTCAAATAACTTTTTCTTCTGTTGCTAATTATTAGAAGTGAAAAACTAAAGTCAGGTTTTTGTCTCTTTAGATATATCTTTTTGTTCACCGAAAACAAGATTATCTCCTTATCCAAAAAGATGAAACCCGCTGAGTTACTTTCAAAAGACGACCAAAGGAGCACCGCAAACTGATGAGTAGAATCAATAAGAACGTGATTTTGGCGCTTTTAACTTTGACCAGTTCTGCATTTCTGCTATTTCAGTTGTACTACTACAAGCACTATTTATCAGCAAAGGTAGCTTTTTTTCCTCCTTTCTTGTCATTAGGCATCATTTTAGCGATATATTTTCCTAACATAGTTCCCTTTGGCAGCACATAAATTAGTCACAGTTTCTCAAATTTTTGCAGATATATTTCTTACTGCAATTTTCCTCTCTGTGGGTGTAGCAAGCAATTCAAAAGTGTTATGTTATTATGTTTTTCAAGCAATGTTATTGTAATAGCACATTCAATATCAAAGGTCCTAGATTTCAGTGATGTTTAATCCATTTTTAAAACCTCAACTTTTGAAATATGATTTATGTTAGGAAAACTGTGGGCACTGGAACTGTCCGAAACAGAAATAATGTCTACTTTTTTTTAGGATTGTTATGTGGGATTGTTATGTGGGATACATGAGAATACATAAGTCATATATGGAAATGTCAGACACAGTACACTGAGGAGCTGCTCAGTAAATATTATCCTTTCTTACCACTTGGCCAAGGCGTACTAACACACACTAACCCAGTGGGTGCAGATGAGCCGAAGTTAGGAATATGGAGCTGAATGGATAAGGCCTGATACGAGATTTGGAAGAGCCAAGAGTTTACTATTTATTAGATGGAAATTAATTAGTTTAGAGATGTCGGCCATCTATACTTTACTGTTTAATAACCTAATTAATTTACTGCAGTCGGTCATTGTTTTCGATCTTGGCTAGTTGTATAATTGTAGAATTCTTAGCTCTTGACTACATGAGAATAGGTATTTTCTGAATGCTTAGTAATGATTATGAGCCAGTTACATAGTTTGAATCTCATGCCTCCCCTAAATGTAATGTTGCATGCTGGTTATGGGGCTTTGGATTTACTAAAATGTTCTTTCGTTATCTTCCTAGAATGGAGCTGGTTTATCAAAATCCAAAGGAAGCCGAATTGGATTTGATAGCATACAGTGGGTATGTACAATAAGCAAGCACTTCCTAATTACAGTGTTCATTTTAGTCTGCCTGGTTAAACACTCAATAAGTAGTTGTTGAATGATGGCAAAGATAATGGCTGCCTTGCTGAGGAGTCGGGGACTGTGGTGGAGGGGAAGTGGCAGGGCCTGTGGGAAGTGCTTTCTATGCAGTATCTCATTTAGTCCTTATGGAAACGCTAATGAGTCAGTACATTGTCATCCTTCGTTAGCTTGGAGAGATTCAGGGTAGTTTGCTAATAAGTGACTCAGTCCAGATTCTCTTTGCCTCCAAACCCTCACTATAGTGGTAAATGAATATATATGTTTCTAAGAATTGAACTATGAAATAATGATGAGGGAAAAAATCTATTCAACATGTTTCCTTTATAAGATAAGGAAAAACTAGCAGTATTACAATACATCCCTGTTTTGGTTTACAAATTTCAGAGCCTGGCACATTTATAAAACATAGTTTCTTATAAAATTACATTTATCTTGTTAGTATACATTTTGGATATGACCAGATGTTTTTCAGTCTTTGGCTTCTGTTTAGCCAAAGGCTGTAGATTTTCAAATCACTAGTAGCAATAAAGTAGTGGTGATAATTTTAGGTCATTGGTGACAATTGGATATGAACCACTCTTTTAAGGGTCAAGTCTGGGATATTGTATTATTAGGCTCCTCAGCTATCAAGTCTGCAAGTATTGTATCAGTGTGAACCTTAAAACATTAAAGAAAGCGTTTCAGTTATAGTTGACATTCAATATTACACGCGTTTCACACATAGAGCATAGTGTTAGACATCAAAATAACTTACCGATCCCCCTGATAAGTATAGTGCTCCCCCGACACCATCCATAGATATTTCAATGTGAACTTTTAATTTACTAAAAATAGTAGCTGTTTCACTCTGGGAACTTAGGACAGTCCGAGGGGAAAGGGAAGCATGGTACACTTGGAATTCACACCCTCCAGTCACAATTGTAAAGACTCTAGCAGATGAAAGAAAAGGGGACATGTTTTGTGTTCTGTCCAGCACTACTTACCCTCCATCTCACCCTGAAGAAAAACACACATGTAATACTTGGACCGGCTTTATTGAAACGTGGAATTCAGTATCTAATAGCCAGGAAGCAGACCCATCTGATGATAATGGAGGTTCTCGATCATAAATTTCAACATTCTAAAATATGAGGATATTTGAGGTGATACAAATTTTCCAAGTTTTCTATTTATTGAGTCATCATATGTAAACTGAAAGAGCATGTTCAGAAAAAGTTTTAAAGCTGAAATCTCTTCAGTGGGACTTTAATTTACTTTTGATTAACCAACAACACTTTCAAAACCTTCTCTCTATATAAAGCAGTCAGCAGGGGTACATACTCATTGTACATTTTAAAATGGAAATTGTATTTCATTTAAAGTGTAACATAATAGAGAAGATTAGAACAGCCCCATCTTTTTCATTCAAGGAATGATCCTTGAGGAGGAAGAAAATAATGTTGTTTTTTTTAAAAAAGGGTTCACGTCCAAGGTACATGAGCCAAAACTTAAAAGAGCAGCTCACAGTACTAAAACTCACTCTTTATAATAGTTGCAAAATTGCAGGTAAGGGAGAACTGAAACACTTTTTGTTCTAATATTTTAGAAGGACTCACAGGTGAACTCTGATCGATAAGTATGACACTGAGCTCTGATAAAATTCTAGGATGAATTATTAAACAGGTTACTTGAGAGCACTTAGGGAAAAAATAACCATCATTAGGAGCTAACCTTTCACTCAGAAGCCTTCACCAGCCCTTTTAGGTTCTGATAAAACTGTGTACACCGGCAGGTGAATAGGCTGTTCTAGTGGCAGTGTATCCTGTTTTCAAACAGACATTTTTCTTTCTTGTAAATGAAATGAATTACTGAAGGCCAGATGGTAATAGTCATGTTGATTTAGGATTAATTGGATTTAGAGTCAATTGAACGTCTGTTTCCAAAGAGCATTGATGATTGCATTGATAACAACCCAGAAGGCATATTTAGAAGGTGAGTTGTAGAATCTCTCCTTGACCTTGCCCTAAGCTATATTGATATTAATAATCATAGCGAAGCCATATATGTGCTCCTCATGTTTGTATTTAACACCAAGCTGAGTATCTTTCGATAACTACTTAGTAAGCACCTTATTTGTGCTAGAATCTGTCATCATTTTTCTTCCAAAATCATGTATGTCTTTCTTTCATTCTCCTAGTATAAAGCACAGAAAGCAAGAACCGAAAAGCAACAACATTGATTAGGCTATCAAAATTTAAAACTTCTTGCCCTGGCTGATGTAGCTCAGTGGATTGAGCGCAGGCCAGAGGATTGAGGTTCGATTCCCAGTCAGAGCATATGCCTGGGTTGCAGGCCAGTTCCCAGCAGAAGATGCATGAGAGGCAACCATACATTGGTATTTCTCTCCCTCTCTTCTTCCCTTCCCCTCTAAAGATAAATAAATTTAAAATCTTTAAAAAAATTTTAAAAACTTCTCATCAAAAGATAGCATTAAAAAAATGGATATGCCACAGACTAGAAAATATTTTCAAACTTATCTCACAAAAATAAACTAGTATCTATGAGAGATAGTAGATAAAAAGAACTTCTACAATTCATTGATAGATTTTTTTGTTCATACTTTTTATCAAATTGACGACGTGTTCTATTCCTGGTTTACCGAGACTTCTTTGCTATGAATAGGTATTGAATTTTGTCAAATACTTTTTCTGTATTGAAATTCTTATAGACTTTCCCCCTTTATGCTGTTGATATAATGAACTTCATTGATTTTCAAATGCTGTCTTTTTTTCTGGGATAAATCCTAGCTGGTCATGATATTTACTTTTTTGTTTTGGTCTCTTTAAAAAAAACTGTTGGAATTTATTTTCAGGCCTTGTTGAGTATTGTTGCATCTGTGTTCACAAAGGATGGGTTTCTATCATTTTCTTTCACTTTTGAAGGCCATACATCCTTTGAGATCATACTTGCTTTCATTGAACTAGGCTTTTAAGCAATAATGTGCACCCTTTATTCTATTTATTTTTGCTACTTTTAGGTATTATTTACTCAATGCAATTTAGTCTGTTTCTATTCTAATTTTAAAATATACTTTTTTTAGTGCTCTACTTACTGCCCAACACAATAATGTTTTAAAATATTACAATATTATTAGAGAGTCAAACTGTATATGGGAATGGTCAAGCAGGCAATGTATTTTAGTTGGGGTCTTTTGCTGAGAAAGCTTATTAAGCAGTACCTCAAATACGAAGGAAAGTGGCATGTAAAATTGATTTGGTTTTGCATAGGTTGCCGTGACTGATTTTTAAAAGCTGAAAGATGAAGTAGTTCATCTTCCACTTTTGCTTAAAAAAATAGCTAATACCAAGAGAATAATTTGTAAGCTTGAAGTTTCCTTTCTGATACAGATTCCTTTCTGTAGACTTTCTCTACAGAGATTTTCTGATCCTTTTGTTGTACAGTTAATTAGTAGCTTACTGTTCTGTACTTTATAATATATTGCATGTATTTTACCTTGATTTGTAAATATTTGTTCATCTTCCTCATTAGATTGTGAGTCGGGAACGGGTGTTATTATTATTTTAGCATAATAGGGGTGGTGTCTATTGAGTAAACACTATATACTGATGAGATCACTGAATAGTATTTACTAAGATTATTGTATTGGTTTCGTAGAATTAAGGAGATTCTTTTCCCCTCAACAGCGTGCAGTTAAAAAATTCATCACACTAACATCGAGCCAAAATGTGCCTGTGTTCCTTATCGATCCTTTGATTCTGGATTTGATTAATAAAAACTTTGAACAAGTCAAAAATACTTCTCATGGAGCCCCTTCAGAATGCAGCTTTTTCTGTGTCCCAAGGGACTTTACTACGTTTGCACTGCAGTATCACCTGTGGAAGAATGAGGTAAGATGATTTGCTTTCAGATGATAGAAAGCCTTTTACAAAATAGTGTGAGAGAATACCAGTTTAAAATATAAAACATTTAAATTTTTTCTAAAAGCTGCAGGGGTGGGCTGGGATGGGAGTAAAAGACAAAAAAACTGTACTTGAACAACAATTAAAATTAAAAATTTTTAATTTGAAAAAAAATTTTTCTAAAAGCTTTTTATACATTATATCAGGAATATATTCAGCTGTAAGTAACAACACAGTTAGTAATAGCTTAAGCATGTGAAGAACAGCATAGGGAATATAGTCAACAATATTGTTATAACTACATGTGATGTTAGGGGTAGAGACTTATTGGGGGACCACATCATAAGTTACATAAATGTCCAACCACATCATAAGTTACATAAATGTCCAGCCACTCAGCTGAAACTAATATAATATGGAATGTCAACTGTAACTGAAAAATTAAAAAATTCTAATAATAGATTAAGCAAATAGGGACTTTATTTTTCTTGTATGACAAGAAGTCAAAAGATTGGTGGCTTTTGGTGTTAATTCTGCCCAGTGACGTCAGGCCTGGCATCACTGATGTTCATTTTTCTTTTCTTTAATCTTTACAAGATAGCTGGTATAGCCCCGGGCGTCATGCTCATGTTCAAGGCAGGGTGAGGACAGGAAGGGATGACGATCCTATTCCTCTTTTGAAGTAAAATTTTGCTCAGCTACTTTGAGCTCACTGTCCAGAACTATGTTCATATGTCTCCTTGTTGTGAAGGAGGCTAACGAGACAGGAATGGAGCCTTTTCATCAGTGCGGGCAAGCAAGTGGGAAGGGCTTTGGTGATGGATTTTCAGGATCTGCCGCATAAGGTGTAAGTGAAGGTAGTAGCCCTAATCTATAGCGCCATTCTTTCCACCTTGTAAGTGCACAGGACTCATTGGACGCTCTCGTGGGATGCTTCTTAGGTGTATCCGGAAATTCAAACTTACATTTTAAGTCACACAGTAGTAGTCAAAAAAAAAAAATCCTCAATCACATATGCCAAAACTTTCCTTACTTCTTTATTTGGAATACCTCTAACTTCCCAACTTTACTGTTTTCATTCTGATGAGTTAGTATCAGATTAAATGAACTGAACCTGTTAGGCAGCACCCCCAAACCCCCTGACCGTGGTAGCATGCGCACCGGCTCTGCAGTGGGATCTGTGTTAGCTGTGTGACCTCTGGGAAGGGGGCTGCCCTCCAGGTGATGGCGTGCTCTGGGGAAGCCGCGGGGTGGGAAGAGGGGGTGCTGCACATCCGCTGGATTGCCCCAACTCTCACCTTTGACTTACATCTGGTTTATAGTTCTTGTTTTTTTCTTTCCACTCAACTTTACATTTTGAAAATATTTAGACTTATAGAAAAGTTAGGGCATGGTATTTTAAATGTAGTTTTTATTTTTTTAATCAAAATTATACTCGAGCTAAGTTTAAAAGGTCAAACAGTAATGCAAAGCTCATAATGGAAAAGGGGTATGTACCTCTTCTCTCCCCAGCCCTTATTCCTACTCCTAGTACCAGCCACTTTCAACTCTGCTGTCTACTTTATCTTCTCATTTATAAATGAAATATTTATGCCCCCTATTTTAATATTTCATGTTTAGATGATGAATTATGAGAGTTTAGCTCTCACATCTGTTTTCTCACACATACGCACACACACTCTTTTCCGCCATCATCATCTTAAAATGACTTCATCACACTCTCCAGTTAAATCAGGAGTCAGTGTTTACCTTCTTATGAAAACATAATCACATGCATACTACCTATTGTACTCTGATTATACTTCTTTTTTCCTTCTGTGTTGTTTGCTATTTCTTAAAAATATATCTATCAATAATCCATGTATGAACTCTGCAAATAAATATAAAATTCTTGATACTCTTCTATCATATCAGATAATTTCGCAGTTCCTTTTTTTCCCCCCTTGGTGACATACCTCCAAAAGCTGCTGGTCTTTCTGCCCAAATAAAGACTGATCTGCTGCGCAGATATTGTTCTGTAACTCCCCTTACATTTTAGGAGTTCTCTTCTGAGAAAGGGTGAGTGGGATGTTGAAAGCTTGCATATCAAAAATGTCTCTACTTGTACATTTGATTTCTAATGTGACTTACATGGCATTCAGCTTCTGCTGTGTACCAAGTCACCCCAAAATTTGGTGGCCTGAACCGCATCCACTTATGTAGCTCGTGCTTCTGGTACTGGGGTCAGCTGGGGCTCACCTGTGCAGCTGTCGGTCAGCTAGGCAGCCGTGCTGCTCAGGATGGTGGCTGTCCGATGTGGCAGGGGAGGTGCTGTGGCCTGTGTCTTTCACCATCCAGGCTAGTCCAGGCTAGCCTGAGACAGCAAAGGCGCGCAGGGGCTCTAGACATTGTTAAAATATTAAGATTCCCTACCCATTAACATGAAATATATGTCCTTTAATTTCAGGTGTCTTTTGATGTTCTTTAATAGAATATTCTAATTTTTCTTACAGATTTTGTACATCTTTTATAAGGTGTGTTTCCAGCTACCTTACAGTGTTTTTTTTGGGGGGGGGTAATATAGATGTTTTTCTTTCTTTTTTTTTTACAATTCATTTTTTAGGTGGATGAGAATGTTGTTGACTTTTGTATTTTGATCTTTTTCCCATCAACTGCACTGGCCTCTGAACTCTGTAGATAAATTTCAATAGTTTCTCCCCCCTCCTCTTTTTCTCCCTTCCTGTGTCTTTCCTCTCTGTCTTTGAATGTAGATTATTATATTCTCTGCACAAAAAAAAAACAGTTTGGTCCGTACCCTTCCAGCTCTTGTACCTAATTTCTTTTCTTGTCTTACTGATTTAGGTAGGCCCCCGGGGTAGGACTGAATAAAAATTTAGTCTTTCTTCCTAAACCTTTTATTACCTGGATGTCGGACTGCCAGAATTGATCTGCTGGAGCCAATTATCTTTGCTCTATGATTTTTATCTCATTTTTCTAACTGTTCTACTTTTAAAATCACAATTTCATTGATTTTTTCACATTTTTGTTTGAAATTTTAATATTTTTATTTTGTAAGTGCTCTGTGTACTCTACTTATTTCTCATAATAACATGGGTACAGTTTTGTTTTTCACTGCAGATTTTAAAGGTTTGGTTTTTTTCTCCCTGCTGAATTTTATTTTTGCAAATCCTTTTTTTTTCTGGATGTTTAGTTTGGATATTATTATTTGTTTTTCATGGTAAGGGTTTTCTACAATATTTGTTGATCTTTTTCTTTTGTATTTAAGAATGAGACACCGAAACCAGTTGGGAGCTTTTGGTGAGGGCCAGGCCTTCATTGCTGGCGGCTGCCCGCCGGGGCGGGAAGAGCCTGCCAGCCTGTTCCCTGGAGACAGACACTTGTAAATGTCAGTACTTGCAGGTCATTCCCATTGGCCTGTTTGATTTTTTCATAAAAAAGCCTGAAAGGTTTATAAACCTTTTCCACAAAGAGTAGTTTATGATGTTCCTTTATTTTCCCAAAATGAAATCCATAGAAATTATAACCTATCTACATACACATACACAATCCCCCAAATCAACATAATGTCTTAACTGTAACATAAAGTAGAAACGAAGGGAAAGTGTGTCCCAGTGGACACGTGCGCAGGAAGGACTGCACTGGAAAACATAACAAAGTATCTCAGACGCTCGCACTTATCAGTAGGGCCGCAAAATGTGATAGCCTCAAATGCTACTGAGTGACATCGTGTTTACTAATGTGCTTTTCCAAAGAAATGAATAAGGTTTCAATGACTAAAAAGCAAAATTGTTCTTCCTTTAACAGGGCTGTGTTATTCCTGAGAAAGGAGGCTCTGATAATTATGAACAAGTTTTTCACTGCGTGGTCATCTGTTAGAACATTTGGAATTGTGCAGGACACAGGATGGACTTTCGTGTTTCGGGCTGTAGGCTGTGTAGTGTTCCTGGCCTGGGCCTCTGAGGGCCAGGTTTGTCTTCCCTAATGGCTGCGATGACCAAAAATATCCCCACACATTTTTTAATGTTTCGTGGATACAGTACCACTTGCCTGGAGAACCAATACTTCAGAAGAAAGGGAATATTAACCTTGTTCTGTGAGATTTATATTACAACTAATGATGTTAGGAAATGCAGTTTGTTTTATAATGTGTTTCAGTCCATTTTCTAATGACTGTGTCATGATGGGCTTGTGGTATGTCGCAGATTATAAACTATAGGGTGAAAGCACATTTTTCAAGCACATTTGAAGATAAGGGTTATTAGGAGTTACATTGATAATTACAAGTTTAAGTGCTGTCTTTATATATATTAAGCTTTATTTTATAGATACTAATCAGAGAACATTGACATGAGCATTCTCATTCCAGGGAAAATTTTTGTATCTTCATAAAGAGAGTCTTTGAAAATGTCTTCCAAGGGACTTAGTTTCTTTCTATGGTACTTTTCTTTTTTCTCCCACTACCTCCTTCCCCTCACCACCCTCATTTTTAAATCTTCAGGCAGAGAACAGAACAGCACAAAAATATGTGTGGCTTAATTCAGTATAAAAATTATCTTAGTTTTTCCTCTAGTATTTGGTTTTAAATATTCATGTTTGATGTTTCTTTGCTTTTAGGAAGGCTGGTTTCGGATAGCTGAAAATATGGGATTTCAGTGTCTGAAGATTGAGAGCAAAGATCCTCGGCTCGATGGGATAGACTCGCTTTCCGGAACCGAGATTCCCCTGCACTACATCTGCAAGTTGGCCGCTCACGCCATCCACTTGGTGGTCTTCTACGAGAGGAGTGGCAACTACCTCTGGCACGGCCATCTACGACTCAAAGGACACATTGACAAGAAATTTGTTCCTTTTCGAAAGCTACAGTTTGGTCGTTATCCGGGAGCTTTTGACAGGTGAGTTTGGGGTCTAAAGCGGAAACGTGAAACCTGAATTGTGTGGTCATGAATTCTTACTCTTTTATATATATATATATATATACACATATATACACACACACACACATATATGCATATATATGTATGTGTATATATATGTATATATATATATGTATATGTGTGTGTGTGTGTGTATAATAGGCATGTCATATAACTCAGTTTTGAAATGTAAATACTCAACAGGAAGAAACTCAGGCACAGGTGCACCGGGAAATGTTTATAAGAATGTTCATGGCAACATTGTTCTGGATGCCCCCAAACAAAGCACTGCGTAATCATTCAGTGAGTAGTGTTGTAGAGCAGGGAGAGGAATGGCCTGGTGCTCTGAGCAACAACATAGATGAATCCCACGATGTCGGGGGCAGAAGCAGGCATAGAATAGTGTAAATCTTAGTATGGCATTTATAAAGACTTCAAACACAGGGTAAAGTATGTTCATAGATGTATACTAAGGTAGTAAAAGTGGTCAAAATGTACAAATTTCCAGTTATGAGAGAAATAACTTCTGGAAACGTAACATACAGCCAGGTGGCTATAGATTTGGGTTATACATTTGAAAGTTGCTAAGAGAGTAGGTCTCAAAAATTGATACCTTAGGTAATCAAAAATATGCTTGACGTTTAGCTCTTTTGCTTATGTTGTATATTTTGAAGAGGCTGTCAGTGCTACTCAGGATTAAGTCCTTATAACAAATCTTAACTTTTGTTTTCAGGCCAGAATTACAACAAATCACTGTTGATGGACTAGAAATTCTCATTCCAAAAGACCCAATGCACTTTCTAGAAGAAATGCCACACTCTAGGTTTATTGAGTGTAGGTATAAAGAAGCTCGAGCGTTCTTTCAGGTTAGAGATAACCACATATTACAGTTTTTAAATTAAAGGAAATGTGTTTGTAATATTTTGTTGGGGAGGGAGATGAAGGGGATTATGGAAAACCGGTAGAAAACATTTTTTGATTCATCCATTTTCTTTTGGATTGTTTTCTGTTAAGTGTTTAAAAAGTAGACTAAACATTAGTAGACTATTTAACATCATTTGATAGTCATGGAGACCTTGTTTTATATGGACAGGCTTTGGTAGGTTTGGCACTGGCATCTGCTCTCAGCTAGGTCAGCCGTGAACTTCGTGGGGCGTTCTGTTCCTGAGGTGCTCCGGCCGGGGTGAAGCCACTGCAGAAGGTGGACCATGTGAAAAAATCATGGAAAATAGTTCATGGAAAATGCAGTTTTTAGAGGGTTGGCACTGAGTATGAAATTTTTTGTTTATGAAGGTTTTTGAAGATAAATGCTACACAAAGACCAAGTGCTTTTGAACTTTATTCTGCTGCTCTCGCTTTCAATTCAGTAAACATTTATTGAAAGCCTGTTTCCCAGACACTCTGCTGACCCCGGGGATGTAAAGACGGTTTTGAAGGGCATGGAATTACAGCTCTAAAAGATGACATGCAACAGAAATACTGGGAAAACAGTGAAATTTACAGTGGGGTTTTGGTATCCCGAGTCTTCCACCTGCCTTTTGGGGGTGGGGGGCATTTCCTTCTAAGAAAGCTGTGTCCACGAGCACAAGAGCATATGGAGAAACGTACCAGCCATGTCATCGCGGGTCAAGTGACCAGCACCAACAAATGCGAGGCTTTGCTGATAGGCTGTGCTGGCCCCAGGACCTAGGCCTCATGGTCCAAGTGAGCCTCCCTCACCCTGGTCCCTCACTTGTGTGACTGCGGAGCTGTGCAACACCCCCAGTCCGCCTCCTGGACGAACAGCTGGAACACCACGCGTGCGGATGGGCCTGCTCCAGTAGGCAGGCACCGCCCATCAAATCCCCACCACGAGGTAACAAGAAGCAGAAGAGGTGTGGTCTGAGGCTTGAACTTGACCATTTACTCCTTCTGCCTGAAGGGAGTTGGTTCTGGCTGCCACCTCTGTCATAGTAATTATCACAGTGAATTGCCAATGTCGTGTGCCCCTACTAGGTTATGTGAACTCCTTGGTGGCAGACATCTTATTTTACTCACCCTTGGAGCCCCAGTATCCAGCATGGTACCTGGCACAAAGGTCCTACAGTCATGGCAAAATGCACAAAGGAAAAGGTGCTCATTTGAATTGGATGATTTTTAGAGACATTTGTTAGTTAGAGCTGCTCATTAGTTAGCAGGCATTTGCCCAGACTCATCTGCTAATCTTTGTGGGAAGGCAGCGTAAATGTGAAATGTTGAGAAATCACGAAGATAGTATCATTTTTTTAACTTCATATTTTCATTCTTTTGAGATTGTTAGGGCAAAGAATCAGTGTTTGAGTAAAGAGAATGGATGACTCAGAGGGCTTTTCAGTTTATTGTAGCCTCACAGTTGTGGTATTTAAAGTACCATCACAGAGCAAGACTGTGAGGCCATCTGCAAGTTTCTGTTTGTAACGGGATCACGGGGAGCTTTGTGTTCAGTCCTCACGGCGTTATCTCTGTCCTTCCCGGCAGCAGGACAGACTCGTGATTCCTCATTTGTTTTTTTTTTCTCTCGTGCTAATGTATTGGTATTACTAATATAGAGTGCCTGATGGAATTAATAACTGTTTAAAATTTTTATCCTCACAAGTGTTTCATTCTTCATCATTTCTTATGTTAGAACCATGTTTAAAAACACCATGATTAAAAACCATGATTGAAACTTTTTCAAATTAAAGTGGAGATACCTAAGTGAGCACTTGATGGCGCCAAAGCACCTTAAACACATGCCTGGTACAAAGCAAGCAGAATCCAAAAATCTCACAAAGCAGCCTCCAACTTTTTAAAAATGATGGTGTGCTTTGAAACATTCTCAGACTTTTATAAAAGTTGAAAATACGATACAAATGGTTTCTTTTTTCCTGAACCATTGGGAGTAAGTCATAGACCTTATGCCCTAAAACTTTAGTATTTCCTAAAAACAAGAATATTCTTTAGAGGTCTTAATACAAAATTTAGGAAATTAACACATAGCTTATTACCATTTAATCTCCATTCACGTTTTTCTAATTGTCCCAATAATGCCCTTTATGTCAAAAGGATTCAGTTTAACATCACCTGTTGTATTTAATTTTCTCATCGCGTTAGTCTCCTTCCATCTTAAAGAGTTTCATAGTTCTTTTTTGACTTCTCATGACTATTCTACTTTTGAGGATGTTAGGCCAGATAGTTTGTTGAATGTTCCCTTGTTTGGGGTTTGTCTGGTTTTTCCTCACACTCGCGTCAGGTTACACAGCTTTCCCAGGAATAATACAGACACTGTGTGGTGCCCTGGCTTCTCACCCTCACATCGCACCCCTTTGCAGTCCAGCTTCCGTTGGCATTCAGGTCGACCACTCCGCTGAGGTGCCGTTTGCTAGCTTCACACCTGTGAAGTTTCTCTTTTTTCACCTTGGCAGTTAATAGCATTTAGCATGAAGCTACTTTAAAACTATGTAAAATAGTAAAATATTTACATAAAAATATGTAAATACTGTCAGTATCATCAGACCTTCAACCTAATTGTTTATATCAGTATGAACTCATGGTTTTCTGTTCTTTCGGTTGTTTTCATTATTTTGGTCCTAGAATTGTTCCATTTGGCCAATTGTATAATGTGGCCATTGGGAACCCCTTCACGGTGGCTTCCGTGCCTTTTTGACATGTCTCCATCATTTTTTGAGCACTGTCTTGCTTTTTGGCACAGATATTCAGGGTTTATCTTGTCCTTTCCTTGTCGTAACCCTGGAATCAGCCATTTCTCTGAGTACTGGTACGTGTTAGAAGCCAAGGTCCGGATGCCAGGGGTGCTCATTGCTGCTTGGGCTTTGCTGCACACAGGTCCTCCAGGAGTAGAGTGTGTGTTGTTTATTTCTGTATCTACCTATCTATCTATCCATCTGCATGAGTTCATATTGATATCTCCAGTCTAATCAATTTATATCCATTAAACAGCATACAGTTCATTTCTACTTTCGTGACTCCCTTAGCAGTGAGAAACCTGATTCCTGTTACACTTAGTGTATTTACTTACTTGTTGGGTCTCCCCTCATCTCTGTTGCCCCCTGTCCTGTGTGGATGCTGTCCTTCCCCTGCTCTGGCTCAGACTCCCACACTGGACCGCCCCTCCGTGTGGGCACCCCCACCACTTGCTCAGGCTCCGACCCTCAGACCAGGCCGGCACTGCCCGTCTGCTTGCTCTGCCTCACGTGACGGCTCTAGTTTTGAATAGTGGAGGAGGCAGGGCGGGTGGTGGGATGGGGGAGAGGGCGAAGTGCTCTCCTAGCTTACTTTGCTTAGTTTTTATTTATTTCTCAATCTACCGAGCAGATTAGAACTAAGGTAATGTACATTTTTCTTCACTTGATTTTGGTAATTATCAAAAAATAACTAATGAGCTCCAGTCTGTTAAATTCCAGTAAAAAAATAAGCAGGGAATATGGCAATGTCCAGACACCTGGCCTAAGAATACCTTTTGCTTCAGATACACCAGTAGCTCTCAGAATTCGCCTTCTTTTTCTCGACTTAGCCAGCCCGCTGCATCTGTGAAGTGGAGGAGGGAGGTGAGAAAGGTATCAGTCTCATCCTGGTTCTGTTCCTTCCCCTTTAAACTTGTCTTTTAGAATCTTCTCCTGTAGACTTATTTTACAGGATAAGTGTGTGACTAACAGGCAACCCTGAAGCTTCGTTTTTATGATAGAAAAATATATGGGGCTGATTTTCAAACTTAATTCAGATGTCACAGAAACGTTTCTAGGCATGTAGAGATGGCTGACTCTGTCATATCTGCAGCAGTACCTCGAAGACAGCACGGTGGAAGCTATGGCCTTTCGGAAGAGCGCGAAGGAGGTGCTGCAACTCGCAGCCAGAACGTTAAAGAAATTGGGAGTGCGGTTCTGGCTGAGCAGCGGGACTTGCCTAGGTAACTTCCTGGTTGCTCACCTTTGTCTTTGTGTCATTTCGTCCTCTTTGGCTTCAGGGATGGCGGCTTGCAAGGACAAAATGTCAGTGATTGGTTAAGTGTCGTATGTATAGATAGAATAAACACAGTGCAGGGAACAGGAATTTATTGATTTCCTTAAAGAAATTAATTTCAGAAACATAAGAGTGAGTTAGGAAGGCCATACTTCTGTTTACCAAAAATTATAATTCACGTGTATAAAAGTACATTAAACATGTGGACTACATTGGATTCTGATTAGCATTTTATTATTTCTATCCCAATTTATTGTTGCATTTTTAACAAACTGTTCAGCTCCTTTACTTACACATGACACAAACAACTTGCTTGCGCCAAAAGTTTGTACTGAGAGAAAAATTGAAGGGAGGGCCATAAGGTCTTCGTCACCCTTCTCCGGGTCCTCCATGGTACCACTGATTGGACATACCCTATGCCTTACCATGTTCTCTCCATTCAGAGATGGGGAAATGCAGCTTCTAGAGTCTGTAGGCAAGTTACTGTTCAAGTCTGAGAAAGGTTCCTGGATCTCTTTCCACTGTGCATTGGATCAGATTCTTCGGAATTTCGAGTATTTTAGAATCTTAAATGTTGTTATTTTCATTTCCTCTTATTTATAACTGCAGTTGGTTATAGCTGGGTTCTTTCTTGTTTATAACTGTATTTATATAAAATTAATTCTGCTTTTATAGGAGAACCATATAATTTATTTCTAATTCAAGAGACTTTTGAGAGTGAAAAGGAGACCCATTAATAATTATGTTGAACAACAGCTATAAACTGGGATATTTGGTTATCCTGTTAGACTCTCAAAAACTCAACACGGTTTTCTTGATGAGGAGCATAGAGCTAGCATAAGCCAAAAAGAGAGAGAGAGAGAGAGAACTGTATTTTGCTCTGTATAGTGCATACTTTTCCCCCAAATTTTTGAGGGAAAAATAAGGATGTGCATTATATGTAGGTAGCACCTGAAATTCTTTGTACCTGCTCTTGTGTTTTGTAATTATTTGTCACATAAAATTTCTTATACCGTAATATGTTCAAAAATAAATGCTAAAATTCCTTTCTAATACAAGAAACAAGTATCTAAATGTGAATGAATGAATGAAAATTAAAGTTTTGTTTTTCTGAAAGTTTGGGCCAAAAACGTGGGTGCGTATTATTCACAGAAGCGCATTGTACATGGCAAAATATGGTGCCTCTCACACCCATGTGATATATACTTTAAGGTTTAACTTTTTTGAAGCAGAATGTTTCATTTCTCATGACTGTATATGTCATCAGAAATATTTCTTAATAATTTGTCATGATTTGTTTTGAGTTTTCAGCCCCATGTTTATTTGTTTTTTTCCACTTAAGGGCATTTATACAATGGGGGCACTTAAGAGCCTTTCATTCTGCTTTTTAGCCTCACCCAGGGACATTTGTTTGTTGTTTTTAGATAGAGATGAAGAGAAAGAGAGAAACATTGATCGGTTGCCTTTTCGTACACTCCCTGACCAGGGATCGAACCCACAACATGGGTGTGTGCCCTGACTGGGAATAGAACCTGAGACCTTTTGGTCTAGGGGATGACCCTCCAACCGAGCCACACTGGCCGGGGCAACAGCCTTCCATTTTTAATAGTTTATGATTCTTTTGCAGGTGTGGTTGTCGATTTTTCTCAAACTATAGGTGAGACACCCTCATCCTTGGCTTCTAAAGATTCATGTTAAAATAAAATGAAAGTTTAGAATTCCAAACAGTATTGCTCAATAGCAGTACTGTTAATTGTAACATTAAAGATTATTGTAGACACTTATTTAGCTTTTAAATAATTTGGATGGAAGTCTTCAAAGGATAATAGGGGAGACCAAGGAGCCCTTAGTAATGTTAAGGTATAAATGGTTTTTTTTTTTAGATTAGTACTATAGCACCTGTTGAGAAGTAAATGCACAGTAAATAACTAGAAATACTTTTTGACAGAATGCTGAAAATTGAGGTTGATACCACTCCTTTTTTTTTGTATAACCCATCAGACATGAGCTGTTCAGAGCAGTTAACTTCTACAAATTATTACTCAGGAAAGGGATGTTGTTTAAGCAAAATAACTAAATTATGTATTTTTAGCTTATCTTAAAAGCAGGCTTCATCCTTAAAGGTTTCTAATTAAACATTCTCAAAATAAATTTAAATGTTTTTAGTTTCATTTTATTTTTGACTAGGCTATTTCAGTTGTCCCAATTTTTCCCCTTTGCCCCCCTCCACCCAGCACCCCCCACTCCCTTAGGCAGTCCCCCTCCTTTGTTCATGTCCACAGGTCATGCATATAAGTTCTTTAGCTACTCCATTTCTTATACTTGGGCTTGACATCCCCCTGCCAATTCTGTAACTAACAATTTATACTTCTCAGTCCCTTCATCTTTTCCCCATTCTTTCACATCCACCTTTCTTCCCCACTGGCCACCATCCCAATGATCTCTATGTCTATGATTCTGTTTCTGTTCTTCTTGTTTGCTTAGCTTGTTTTTGTTGATAGTTATGTATTTATTGCCATATTAGTGTTCATAGCTTTGATCTTCTTTTTCTTAAATAAGTCCCTTTAACATTTCATTTAATAATGGTTTGGTGATGATGAACTCCTTTAGCTTTACATTATCTTGGAAGCATTTTATCTGCCCTTTGATTCTACATGATAGCTTTGTTGGTTAGAGTAATCGAACATTGTAGATCCTTGCTTTTCATCATTTTGAATACTTGCCAATCCCTTCTAGCCTGCAAAGTTTCTTTTGAGAAATCAGCTGACAGTCTTATGCAAACTGCTTTGTAGGTAACTCTGCTTTTCTCTTGCTGCTTTTAAGATTCTCTCTTTATCTTTAACCTTTGGCATTTTAATTATGATGTGTCTTGGTGTGGTCCCCTCTTCATCCATCTCGTTTGGGACTCTGTGCTTCCTGGACTTGTATGTGTATCTCCTTTATCAAATTGGGAAAGTCTTCTTTTATTATTTTTTCAAATAGATTTTCAATTTCTTGCTCTCTCTCTCTTCTCCTTCTGGCAGCCATTTGATGCAGTAGTTGGAACACTTGATGTTGTCCCCGAGGCTCCTTACACTGTGCTCAGTTTTTTGGATTATTTTTTCTCCTTGCTGTACTGATTGGATATCTTTTTCTTCTTTATGTTCCAAATCATTGGTTTGATTTTCAACTTCATCCACTCCACTGTTGATTCCCTGTAAATTGTTCTTTATTTCAATTAGTGTGTCTGTCCTTCATTCCTGATTGCATCATTTTTATGCTTTTGAAGTACCCACTGAATTCCTTGAGCATCCTTATAAACCAGTGTTTTGAACTCTGCATCTGATAGACTGCTTATCTCCATTTTGTTTAAAACTCCAGTTCTTTTTCTGGAGTTTTGTTCTGTTCTTTTATTTAAGCTCTATTTCTCTCCTCGTTCTGGCAGCCTCCCTGTGTTTGTTTCTATGTATTAGGTAGAGATGCTTTGACTCCATGTCTTGGTAGTGTGGCCTAATATAGTAGGTGTCCTGTAGGGTCAGTGGCACAGCTGCCCCTATCCCCCAAGCTGGGTACTTGAGGTGCGCCCTCCTTGTGGGCTGAGTATGCCCTTCTCTTGCAGATGAGTCTTGATTGCTGTCAGCAGGTCAATGGGAGGGATTTACCCAGCTAAGACAGCTGGTAGGACTGGCTGTGACCCTTGGTCCACAAGCACCGCCCTGCCTGGCTTGTGGAGATGGTTGGGTGGTGGTGTCTGATGTGGTCTGTAACTGTCTGCTGCATGTGCAGGTGCTAGAGTTTCCCAGGTGGTACAGGCCAAGGTCAGCCTCCACCTGCATTCTTTCCGGGGGCACCTTGGCATAAGCTATAAAGCAGTCTACAGATGGCTGCTGCTAGTGCCTGGTCTGGGTCCACTGGATAAGTGGTAACAGGGGCTGGGCTCAGCTCTTCCTTGTTTGAGCAGATTTAGGAAGATCTGAAGCCTACACCTGGCCCAGCCCTTCATGTGGAAGTCACTGTTACCAGTTTGGGTGGGCCCATAAGTTGGGTGGAGCAGGCCTTTAGAATCATCATGGCAGGGGTTAGCATGTGAGCCAGGTTGACGGAGACTCAGATACGGTGCCATGAATTGTGGCTTTGTGTGGGGAAGGGCTCAGAAAAGGTACAGGGGCTGCTGTCTGCAGTCCTGTCTGGGAGCTGTCCTCCAGCTCTCGCCCTGATACCAGAGGAATGATACTTCAGTTCCTCCCCATATGGCACCAGTGCCCTTAAAGGTGCTGCCCCGGTGCTGGAGGCCAGAGGGAGTGAGTCTGAGTACGTCCCTGTGCAGGGCCCTCCCAGAGGAGACACCTGAGAATCCCACGGGTTCTTCTGCCAACCCAACTCCCGCTGGTTTTGACAGCATGAAGTTATGGGGATTATCTTCCAGGTCCTGGAACCCAGGGCTATGTTGTCTAGTGTGGAGCTGGGACCCCTCACTCCTGAGGTATCCCTTGGTTTTATATCCACCACAAGTGGGTTTGGGACCAGCCCATTCCATGTATCCATGCATCCATATCTCCATCCCTCCTATCCATTTGGATGAGTGTGGTTTCTAATTCCTTAGTTGTCAGACTTCCATGCAGCTCGACTTTTTTGACCGTTCTGAGTGATGTTTGTTCTGTAGTGTGGCTGTAATTTTGCTGTGGTTGTGCAAGGAGGTGAGCCCTGTTTACCTAGTTACCTATGCGTCCATCTTAACCAGAAGTCTAGTTTTCTTAAATGGATGGCCCACCTAACATTATTAAAGCTAATACTTTATTCAGAAATTAAAACACATTATGAAAATTTTTAGGGTGCTTAGTGCTCAGTCCAGTAAAAGGAAGGAAGGGCGGGAGGGAGGGAAGGAGGAAGGAAAGAAGGAAGAAGGATAGATAGAAGGAAGGAAGGTGGGAAGGAAGGAAGGAAGGTTGGTCGGTTTGGTTTTTTAACAGATGGGTCGTATAACTACAGACTTAGTTTGGAATGTAATTTTTAAAATATAATTTTAGTAAAGCACTCTAACTCTAATCCTATGAAATAAAATCCACTCTTACAAAGATCATTCATTATAACAATGACTAATTTTTTTCCAAACTTGAGTTTTTTAAGTTTTCTTACTTTTTTCTTATTTTTTAGGATGGTATCGACAGTGCGGTATTATTTCTTATAGTAAAGATGTCGACATAGGAATTTTTATACAAGATTACAAATCTAATATTATTTCAGCATTTCAAGATGCAGGACTTCCACTGAAACACAAATTTGGGAAGGTCAGTACTAATAATCTATTTTACTTCATAAGTAACATGTCTCAAAAGTAAAGTTTGTATTGAACAACCCAGAAATGATTAGGAACATTGCATGCATCGTTGTATCACTTGGTGTCCACCTGGATGAATTAGGCAGAAGCTTGCTAGCACTTGTGACCTCTGCACTATTTTAAAAAAACTACAGAATCTGGCTCTCTATAAACAGTGATAGAGAGAAAGACCTTGGGCTCTTGCAGATGAATTTACTCCCGTTATATTAGGCAACATCATAATATAAAATTAATATAATACATAATGTGCATTAATATAGTAAGTGAGAATCCCACCTACCCCTGCCGGAAGTTATAGTTTCTCATAATTCATTTACTTTAATGTTCACTTGAGCTACGTAGCATTATCAACACAAAACATTTCATTGATTGCTAAGGGTTAGAAGTACAGGCTTATTTCAAAGAGTACTTGAATTTCTTGTTTATTTCATCTGTCCTAGGTCACAACAGTTTTTTCTGAGGTCAGCGAGGAATAAGTCATCGTGGCTTAGATGAAATCTCCTTTTACACAATTTGATTCTGATGCCCTACACCTCTGATCCCTTGCAATCACCTTACTATTAATGTTCTTGTTCTCAGAGTGAGTTTGTCCTGGAAACCAAGTAGAAGTATGTTTAGTCACTGGGAAATTATTTTCCTCATTATAAGTGTTCCAGTTCATTTTTTTTTTAATTAATAAAATATCTTCCTGAGGTCAAAGTCAAAGCACTAGAACTCTAGTCATTCAGCAAACACCACCAGCACTGTGCTTTGCACCCGGGACATAAAGGTGAATAAGTTACAGTCCTTACCATTGAGGAGTTGTGTATCTCATTGGAAGGAGAAAACTGCGTAAATAAGTATGTGATTGATTCTGTAGCAGACAGATGTACCAAGTGCAATGGGAATGTATTTGCAGGATAAGCTTCTTTAGGAAAATACTCTCAGAATTCCTTGTTCCTTTAACTTTATTTTTTCATGTACATATTGTAATGATCTATGGTCTGTATATGGGTTTCTATAATACAACATTTACTTAAGTACTTATATATTAATTGTAATGAAAAACTTCTTTCCTGCCGTTATACCTGATTGTTAAAGGGAGTAATCTGTCTTTGGTTCTTCTCTTTCTTTAGTCAGAAGGGGGCTCAGGAACAGAATGTTCTGCAGAGTGATAATTTAACCACTGTTAAGTCATTATCCTGAGCTGTCATCAATTCTGAGAAGCAACATTATGCACTTAAGAAAGAAATCAAATGATAGCATGCTACTGATGCATCCCAATTTCAGAGGTGCTCCTACTTGAAAACGTATCTGAAAATCAGTACTCTATGTAAAACATTACCTTTCTTTAAAAAATGTGTATTTCTGTCCTGGCTGGTGTGGCTCAGTGCATTGAGTGCTGGCCTGCAAATCAAAGGGTTGCCAGTTCAATTCCCAGTCAGAGCATGTGCCTGGGTTGCTGGCCAAGTCCCCAGTAGGGGGTGCATGAGGGGTAACCACACACTGATGTTTCTGTCCCTCTTTCTCTTTTCTTTCCCTGCTCTAAATATAAATAAGTAAATAAAATCTTGTTAAACATTTTTTTAAATTAAAAATGTATATTTCCATTGTTGCAGTCTGTGAAGATCATCTTTTTCCCTCTAGGTAGAAGACAGCTTGGAACTATCTTTCCAGGGAAAAGATGATGTGAAACTTGACATTTTTTTCTTCTATGAAGAGACTGACCATATGTGGAATGGAGGCACTCAGGCCAAGACAGGAAAAAAATTTAAGTATGAATCAGATAAGTACTTATAAAAGGGGCAATAGAGCCTTGCTGGTGTAGCTCAGGGGATTGAGCATGGGCTGCGAACCACAGGGTCCCAGGTTTGATTCTCAGTCAGTGCACATCCTTGGTGGGGGCTACATGAGAGGCAACCACACATTGATGTTTCTCTCCCTCTCTTTCTCCCTCCCTTCCCCTTTCTCTAAATAAATGAAGTCTTTTTTAAAAGGAGGAGAGCAATAGAAATAACTTTGGACGTTAGAGAAAAAGCCTCTGGGAAGGCTCCATTATCAGCTAATACTTTCTCAACGTACCCTCAGAGCCGTTATGTTTGCAAGGTGAGAACTACCTATCAGCAGAGTCTGCAAGGAGGAAGTGTCCCTGGTTTGTCAGTCCAAAGGGTCTTCAAGGTTAAAAGCGCTTGAGACATCGGAAAGATTAGACCAAAACAAGGAACCCGGAGATCAAGCCCAGAGCCTGAGCCAAAACACTGATCAGCTGTTAGAGCCATAGGTCCTTGGTAATTGGGTAGGAATAGGTTAAAGGTCAGCAGGGAGACAGTCATGGTGAAGCGAAGTTTAAGTGATGAAATCGGGATTGAGTGGGGCTGAGGCCAGGAGTGCTGGGCAATCTCTGATATGTGCCTTTCACATAGACTGAGGGCTAATCCTTAAAGGATACCGTTGGGTTTAACAGCTACCATAGTCAAGTGTAAGATGACATCCACTGTAAGATGCACTGTTATTTTATGTGCTACTAAGAAAGGAAAAGCTGTCAATTATAATCGTAAGACAGGATTCACAGATAGAAAATTTGGTGGCGGTGTCTCAGAACTGAAAGAATGCAGTACGTTAGATTGGCATTTTAAACAGTTTTTTAATGCTGCCGTAGTAAATCTCCTTGATGAGAAAAGACCAAAAAAATAGTATTAGAGTAACTGTGCTGGCCTTTATGATGCAGTGAGCCCATTCTCAGTTGTGGGAGAGAATGGATGGGAATGAGAACCCGAAGAGCAGGGGCTCTGGAGTTGGGCTGACCTTGGAAACCGCAGCTGCACCTAACTCATGCGTGACCTTAAGCTTCACTAGACGTTAATCTCCTCTGCTGTTAAAACTTGGGTTAGTACTACTCTGTGTCAGGCACCTTATGAATATTTTACATGTGCTAACACAGCTACTCCTCATAACAACCTTAAGAGGTAGACACTCTGTTAGGCACTGAGAATTTATGTGGTTTGTTCAAGATCACATAGCAAGTAAGTAAAGGTGTCAGATAGCAGCCTGTCCCTAGAATCAATCCTTTTAATCCTCTACCTCCCACCACCTGTGTACTATACTTGACCATCCGAGGCACTTAGCATAGTGCTTAGTACTTACTAAGTAGATAGTAGTTATCATTGTTGTTATTGTATATTGTTACTATGATTACTAATGGGATTAATAATATCATTACTGCCACTATTAGGGCAGATATGTGACCAGGGACATAAATGTACCTCACCAAGTAGCTGAAATTGGTGCTCTGGTCATTGAGTACATTGAGCCATTGGGCACAGCGGGGAATGTTCTGTAACACAGACAAGGGGACCTCACTGAGCCTGGCTTCTCCTGAGTCCGTTCACACACCCTACTGGAACCGCGGAATCTTTATTTGAAGGCAGGGAGTCTTCATGTAAAGTTAAACTTGTTCTGAAGGTTCGAGAGTCATCCAAACCTTTTCCCCAAAGTTATAAAGTATCCCCAAGTCGCTATTGACCCCGGAGCTTATTCCTGAAATGTTTTCTTTAATATAAAAAAGTATTTTGCTGTCTGACAACACACTTTCATGCTGGGGTAAGTGCTGATTATAAGTTAATGAATATATAATTGACACTCTGATTGTGACTAGGTACATGGGGGGGCGGTAAGTTCCACAGTTTTTTATTCAGGTATGGTAAAGATGCCAATTTTCGTGTATAATTTACAGGCATTTAAAAAAAGCTATAAGACCCCTGGCCAGTGTGGCTCAGTTGGTTGGAGCTTAGTTCCATAAACCAAAGGTTGCAGGTTCAGTCCCCAGTTGGAGCATGTGCGGGAGGCAGCCAAGCAATTTATCTCTCACATCAATGTTTCCCTCCCTCCCTCCCTCCCTCCCTCCCTCCCTCCCTCCCTCCCTCCCACCCTCCCTCCCTCCCTCCCTTTCTCACTTTCTCACTTTCTCTCTCTTTCTCTCTAGAAATCAATAAATCAGCCCTGGCCCAGTGGCCTGATTGGTTGGAACGTCATCCCGTATGCCAAAAGGTTGTGGGTTTGATTCCCAGTCAGGGCAAATACCTAGGTTGTGGGTTTGATCCCTGCTTGAGGCACATATGGGAAACAGCCAATCAGTGTCTCTCTCTCTAAAATTAAGAAACACCTTTAAATTGTTAAGTCTCTTATTGTTTAAAAAAAAGCTGTAAGAAAGGATGGCATAGAAACTAAAGGCATGGGGCCAGTCTGCTTGTTTCTGAATGCCAGTGCTATGTTTTACTAGCTGTAGCACCTTGGGTAAGTTACTTGACTTCTCTGTGTTAAGATTCCTCAAGTGTGAAATGGGAATAATAATAGAAATTGCCGTGAAGCAGATTTAAAGATTGAGTTAACATACAAAAAGAGTTTTGAATAGAATTAAGCATGTCCTGAGTTCTTAGTAATTGCTAACTGCTTTTATTAATGCTAATAAAAGTAGTGGTAAAGAAAACTGTTCCTCTTCTTAGTCTTCTGAGAAATTTAGAGATTAGGAACCTATATGAGTATCTCAATATTAAACTGAAATCTGTTCTTAGAGAACTCATGACAATGTCACCTTTTTCAAAGAAAGATGATTTTTGGAGCCAGGATCATAATCCTGTTATTCTTAAATTTTCTTTCAAGACTTGGATTTCTTCTCACCGACATCTGAAACCCACGAACCTCAAAAGCGCTGTTCGTTTCTAACCACTACACTTCTGAATAAAAAGAGCTTGTTTCATTCTGCTTTAACTGCTCTTTATGGTAGCAGTGTTTGGGAAGTGGGAGGTGTTCTGACTATTTAACGAGAGAAATGAGCAGTGATAGAACTGTCTAGACAGATGGTGTGAGTCCCAGATTTTCTACCATGTTACCGTGACCTTAAAAGGCAGAGAAAAGAACGGGATGGCTGTGTAGAGTCGTTTCTTTGGAAGAGTCTCCCAGCCATATGCCATTTTCATTCTTTTCGGCACTATTTGCTTTAAAAAAATGTAGTGTTTTCTAGAAGGGAGCAAAAAACCTTTAGAGCTACTCTGAGGGTCTTTTTTATCATTATAATATTTTACTTTTTATTTCTGTATGGTAAATTCTAAGAAAAGCTTAACAATATCATAGAATGCTTACCATTTTTTAAAAAGTTGGAGAGGACCCTGGCTGGTGTAGCTCAGTGGATTGAGCATGGGCTGGTAACCAAAGGGTCGCAGGTTTGATTCCCAGTCAGGGCACATGCCTGGGTTGCAGGCCAGGTCCCCAGTATGGGGTGTGCTAGAGGCAACCACACACTGATGTTTCTCTTTCTCCCTCCCTTCCCTTCTCTAAAAATAAATAAATAAAATATTTTTTTAAAAAGTTGGAGAGGGACTCAGGAATGAATAAAAAAGTTCCTCCTTTCAAAACTTTACTCTCGCCCTGGCTTGTGTGGCTCATTTGGTTGGACCATTGTCCCATAACTCAGGGCTTGTGGGTTCAATCCAGGTCCAGGCACACACGGCAGTCAACCAATCCATGCTTCTCTCTTCCATTGATGATTCCTTCCCTTTTCTCTCCTTTCTTCTCTCTAAAAAGCAATGAAAGAGTGTCCCCAGGTAATGATGAAAAAAAGAAAGTCTACTCTTTGCCTTCAGACTATGTTTCTGGTCCTAAGATTTAAAAATAATTATAATATTAATAACACCAATAAAGATATAGATACCATGGTATCAGCTAGATATTAGGTACTGTGATAGGTACTTTATAATCTCAAATAACCTTCACATTACCCCTATGGGTTCTGTGTTCTCACTCCCAGTTAAACGTGAGGAAACTGAAGTTTGGAGAAGTTAAGTAGCTCACTCAGGGTCATCTCACCACAATGCCATGGCCAAGGTTAACCCCAGGCCTGTCGGACTCTTAGGCAAAACTACCTTCTTCTAAGAGTTAATAGATTAACTCTAAATGCATGTAACACATTTAGAGCAATATAGGGTTAATAAGTACTATATAGAGCTAGCTGCTGCTGCTACTATCCTTACTATTTATTATTACTATTATAGTCACTATTACTACTACTATATACGCACTGATAACTTGGGTTAGTTATTCTCTGGGCAAGCATTTCCCTTCCAGGTCTAATATTTATTCCATCCATAGCTTTTAGTCCATCACTCCTTTACCTGAATTCATTCTTTAACCTAAAATCTGAATTCTACTCTTCAATATGGTCTAGATTTTTTAATGTTTATTTTTGTTCTCCAGAGTCCCAATCACCAGGAATAAAAGCAATGAAGTAATAATTATGCCTCTTGAGATAAGAAGTTTCTATTCCACAACTTCACAGTTCCCCCACATTTCTTTGAGTTATTTCTTTTGTTCCCACCTGAATCAGCTGATGTAAGCAGAGGCCAAAAGTTTGAGGAGCGATACTAGTGGAAATAATAAGAATGAATTGTTACTGAGCATTTGCTATATGCTAAGCACCATGCCGAGCTTTTTGTGCATCATCTCATTTCACCCTCGCAACAAGTTTATACAGGAGATTTTATCGTTGTCACCTTTATTTTGTGGACGAGGAAATTATAGCAGAGCTAAGACTCAGACCGAGGACCGGTCACTGCAGAGCTCACGTTCTCATCAGTGTGCAGTGGTAGTGTCGCTGTGACCTGCGTCACACTGTTAGCAAGGGGGCCTCAAAGACATTCATTTCGCTCCGCATCATTTCAGTGGGATGCCAATGAGATGCCATGGCAACAGAACTCTTCTTTATGTCAGTTAGCCCATGGTA